AACCAAGTCCTAATCAAAACCTTATTAAATTCATAATCCATAATTAAGCAAGTTTATCCATAAAATTAAAGTGGCCACGTGTCAGGTGGCAAAGATTTTGGTGAGGGGGAAGGGGCAAATAATTCGTTCAGCTCAGTGATGTTATCAGTCCCAATAGCCATTTTTGTCTTGTTTTTCTTCTCTCTCTGTCAAGAGTCATCTATCTCCCTCTTTCTTTCGATAGAGGCCCTCTGCTCGAACCCTAACGCTCAAATTTCTCGGCAAAACCCCGACTTTCTCGGAGAATCACGGAGGAAATGCAGCACCAGAGGCTGAAGCAGCAGCAGCAACAAGCTCTGATGCAGCAGGCTCTTCTCCAGCAGCATTCCCTCTACCACCCTGGCCTCTTAGCTCCTCCTCAGGTTCGACCTTTCTTTCTCCGTCTTGCTGCTCCAATTTCCCGTCCTCCGGCTTCGATTCTGCTTTCGGGTTCGATTTTGGTTTTGGTCTTCCATCTCCGATTGTCTTTGTGTGTGATTGCAGTACGGCAGCTAGGGTTAGTTGAGTTCCTCTTCCTTCTCGTGTTTCGGAAGTACCGATTCCGAAAGATGGGATTTTCGGGAAATTTCCTTTTGTGGGAAAGTTTTGACTTTTATTGTTTATGCTTTTTTATTGCTTCTCGGTAGTGAAAAATGAGCTTGGGGCTGTTACTTTTTGGGTTTTCTCTCATTCGTGTTATGTTTCGGAGCTGAGCGGAGCTCGATTCTCGGAGGTTCTGCGATTGGTGTTGAATAAGATTGAATAGTAGTTCGTTTTGTTTTTTCGGAATTCTGAAATGGGGAAGAACTGTTTGCATCTTGACACTTTTTGTTATCTTTTTGTCGTAGTGGAATGGTATGGAAAATAGAAATAGGAGACTCTATTAGCGTTTTTAATACTCTGTGGTTTTTCGAATTGTTTTTTTTTCGTGCATTGGTGCTTTGGTTGGTGGTGATTTCCAAGCCTCCAGTAAGTTGCGGATAACAGTTATCGGTATAGAAGTAAACCAAATACTCATTTGGCCCTGTCTTAGAATTTTGATAAAGTTAAGAGGAGTCGCACTTTAGGTTATCTTTAGTTCCCTGCCCACCATGTTTTTGTCTTGCATAAGCATTTTTTCCCAGATGGACCACTAGTACTTTAGTTTGTCGTTGTTGGGTTCCGGTGCAAATGATTTTGCTGTTAGGTTGAAGTACTCCTGATCTTGTTGATAAATAAGCAAGGGAATTAGTTTCTTTTGATTTAGGTTTATTTTATTTTTTGCTTCTGGCTTTTTAGGTTCCTTTATTTTCTTTTCTTTTTCACATTTTTATTTTGCAGATAGAGCCAATCCCAAGTGGAAATCTGCCTCCTGGTTTTGATCCAAGTACTTGCCGCAGTGTGTGAGTGTTTGTCTAGACATTTTTTTTACTTTCTATTTTGAGTTTTTATTTGTTTCACCTCTATGCTTATGTAATTATTTTGTTTCTCTGCATTATCGTACCCCTGGTCGATGACTTGATATTATTATCTTCACTGAATAGCTTTATGATAAGTTTATCTTTTCCATGGATGCTTTGCATTTGGCCATGCTATATCTTACTAAAGTAATAAAAAATTTCAAGTATCTGAAATTACCCATCCTTCTCATAAAATAACCCTCTCACTCGCTATGTTTTCTGTTAAAAAAATCCAGACGAAGTTACCTATGTGTAACTAAAATTGTGTTTTTTTTTTTTTTTTTTTTTTTTTTCTGGTTCAGTGTGATTAGTTGATTACGAAGTGTTTAATTTCATTTCTTTTTTATCTTCTGGTTTAAACTTTTGTTTACTTTGAAAAATTTCAGGTACGTGGGGAACATCCATACCCAGGTGACAGAACCACTTCTTCAAGAGGTTTTTGCAAGTACTGGTGCTGTTGAAAGTTGCAAACTTATAAGAAAGGAAAAGGTAAGTTTGCAACGGTGCACATATTCGTCTGCGGTTTTTTTATCTGTTCTCTGTTCAACAATCCTCTCGCCGTATGAAAATTTCTGGACTTGACTAGTTTACTATGAGCCTAACTCAATTCTACCATATGGTGATCATATAATTGATAATTTTTTTTTTTTTTTGTGCCTTCTGCAGTCATCCTATGGGTTCATTCACTATTTTGATCGCAGATCAGCTGCTCTTGCAATAATGTCTCTCAATGGCAGGCATCTGTAAGTACAAATTAATTATGCTCCTTGTTAATTTTGTTTGCTTATATTTGTACTTTCTCTAAAATCTTTGATATGTGATCTTCAGGTTTGGGCAGCCTATCAAAGTAAATTGGGCATATGCTAGTGGTCAGAGGGAGGATACATCAGGTTGGTTTTTGTTTTTCTTTCGTTGAACCAATTTAAATGATGCTTTGGCATTTATCATTGAGGTTAATTATAATACTGTCTTTCTGATGTGCAGGTCATTTCAACATTTTTGTCGGTGATCTCAGCCCTGAGGTTACTGATGCTACATTATTTGCATGCTTTTCTGTTTATAACAGTTGTTCGTAAGTGTCTTCTCGAGCGCTGGTTTTCTTAGTTTCATATATTTAATAAAACCTCTGATGACTAATAGTTAAGACGTGGAAGTCTTGCGTTCATCTGCTAACATTTGTTAAGTTTACATTGTAATCCATTGTGTGTTCTTCAGATGCCTAATTAGATTGTTTTGTTGGTTCTAGAGATGCAAGGGTTATGTGGGATCAGAAGACGGGGCGTTCAAGAGGCTTTGGGTTTGTCTCATTCCGAATCCAACAGGTAGTATTTTTGTGGAACATTTTACCTTTGTTATCTTTCAGATGCGTGTTGAATTCTTTTTTGTTAATAATCTATTGTGAGTCTGAATGGTAGTTTCTGATGGACTGGTAACTGAATGCAAGGGATTAGGATGAGTGAACTTAGGTAACGGCTTGGTATAATGACATCAAATTTTCTTCTAAAGAGTCAATAGTTTAGAGCCAGCCTCTGCCTTTATAAGTGTGTTCATTTGTAACTAAATTGATTTTCATGACTCTCATTTTCATTGTCAGGATGCTCAAAATGCGATCAATGACTTAACTGGTAAGGATGATGTTCTTCTTCCTATTCAAAAATTATTTTGACAAGTTTGTTGAAAAAATGCATGCGGGATAAGTACAATAGTTCTGGGTTCCCCTCTTGTATTCCTTCTCTCCATATTCTGAACTATCTTTTTGGCTGTGATATCCAGGTAAGTGGCTCGGCAGCAGACAGATACGTTGCAACTGGGCAACAAAAGGGGCTGCCGCCAATGAAGACAAGCAGAGTTCAGATGCTAAAAGTGTGGTGGAGCTAACAAATGGCACATCAGGTGAGCTTACCACCGTGTTCAAACTCGTTTTTTCCCTTTTCTAACACAAAAGATGTTATGTCTAGTTTGACTGGAAAATGAGAGGAAAATAATTTGGTTTGTAGCAATTTCTTATACACTCTGTTTTGTGTAAAAAGATACAGTCCTCTGCCTAAGACTCATATTCTGTTTTCATTGTGCAGAAGATGGAAAGGACACAGCAAACAGTGAGGCTCCGGAGAACAACCCTCAGTATACTACTGTTTACGTGGGCAATCTTGCTCCAGAGGCAAGAAATCCTCTCTCTCTCTTGCACCGCGCAAACGTGCGCTGTTGCACCATTACTTTCTGCTATGCCTTGGATATGAATTGATACACAAGTTTTTTGGGTACAGAACTGAGTTTGAATTTTCTACCATGATTGCTTCTTAACTTGAACTTGAGTTGGTGGTTTTTAACTTCTGGAAAGAGGAATAGATGTGGAGAATAAAATGAATATCTTCACTACTCGGGGATCATAGAAATTCCAGTATCATTAAATTTTATTGGTCTTATTCTTACAGGTCAGTCAGCTTGATCTGCATCGCCATTTTCATGCTCTTGGTGTTGGAGTGATTGAGGAAGTTCGGCTGCAGCGTGACAAGGGCTTTGGTTTTGTGAGATTCAGTACCCACGCTGAGGCAGCTCTGGCTATTCAAATGGGAAACACTCAGTCCATCTTGTGTGGTAGACAAATAAAGGTGCGCTTCTATGCTTACTACTAGAGCTGTTATAAAAAGTATTACCGTAACACCAAAAGTAGTGGACTAGATCGGTCGATCATCCTGGGACATCACGTAGAGACCCATTTGCATGTCTACTGTTCAAGTGTTTATTCTTTCTCTTACTCTGCATTGACTGTTTGCCTTTATTATGTAGTGTTCTTGGGGTAGCAAGCCTACTCCACCAGGAACAGTTTCAAACCCACTCCCGCCGCCAGTGGCAGCAGCACCTTTACCGGGCCTCTCTGCAACCGACCGTTTGGCCTATGAACGGCAACTGGCAATAAGCAAGATGGGTGGTGTCCATTCCCTCATGCACCCTCAGGGACAGCATCCCCTTAAGCAGGCAGCATTGGGAATGGGCACAGCTGGAGCAAGCCAAGCTATATACGACGGTGGATTCCAGAATGTTGCTGCTGCCCAGCAGCTCATGTACTACCAGTAGTAATACATAAGGGTATCTGTTAAATGGCACGACCTATATAATCTATTTCCTGCATTGTGCAGGTGTTATCTGAGTTATAAACCCCATTAGGAATCTTTTTTATTATTTCTCCCCCTTAAGCGGCGACGGTGAGGTTGTTACCGTACCCTGCCTTATGTGCTTGCTGTCTGTGTGGGTATGTAACATGTATGATCTGTTTTCGACTGCGTTATGATGAGTGGTTATTTATTAGAGGAAGTTGGGTTTTCCACACTTGTTTTCAGTCTCTTCATTTATCGTTTTGGCTACGAGTCTACCGTTGATTATAACAGTAAAATCGACACCCCTTCTTCGGTTGTTACTAGCTGAAAGCTATTTTCGAGTTGTGCAATATCGCTAATGGATTCACCGGTCACCTTCGCATACAAAACTCGGCATTTTCTACAAACTAAGGTGACAGAGACGGGGTTTGACGGAGTAGGCAGATTAACCAAAGGCATTCTGTATTAAACCACTTGTACCGCGAAACCAAATCAAAACGTTCTGGGATCTGCAGGTTAGCGCCGGTGACAAGTCATCTACACCCCCTCGTGATATGCCAACATAACTCTGTAACTAATAGAGAGAACTTTTGGGCGAAGCTGATTCAGTCGGACTCCAACCTCGCAATGTAATTGTCGTAGAACTTCCCTGCACGCTCGAGATCTCCAAGCTCGGTATAACAATCAGCAATTGCTCCATAAGCTTCTGTGTTTCCTGAGTCTTCTCCTTCTCGCTCGGAGATGTCCAAAACCATAGAATGGTATTTAATGGCGTCTCGGTACTTACCCAATCTTTGCAGTGAGGCTCCTGACAGAAGCAAATGGCAATTAATAAACAAAATCAGAACGGATTTCCAATCTACAGGCCAGCTCAATTAGACAGACACAGTTGGAACTGTTGAACATCGTCGATACTGTCTTCTGAAGCTAAGAAATAAGGCTCATGGAACAAGGGGATCAGAAACAAACCTAAACCTCTTGCAGCTTTCTTTTCCTCAATTGGGTCCTTCATACTTTGGGCAAGCTCAAGAGCTGTCTTAAATTCGTCAAGTGCTTTCTCCGTTTCTTGATTTCTTAAAAAATTCTTCCCAGCCTTCAGTCGAGATATCATCTCGTGCTTCCTTGGGTCAACTATCACCTCACTCTCTGGTAGTATTTTTGCACCAATCGGTGAATAACTCAAGCTAGGAGCATACGATTCAATCTTAGCTTGCCTTCTTAGAGATTGATTAATTTGACGCAACTGTTCATTCACTCGCTGTAATTCTCCTTTCCTTTGCCGAGCAACCAAGCCTATCATAGAAGCGCTAAACTATCAACAAACTGCTCAACATGGCTATCATATAAAGATATCGTTGAAACAAATAAAATCAACAGAACTACTTACAACAGTTTCAAAAGCAAGCACATAAACCTAATGGAACAGAATTGATGGTAATTAATAACCCAGTAAAATCTTACCACCAACAGTGGCCCCTACAAGGGCTACAAATAGCAGTATGGGCATGCTGAAACCGGAGTTGTCAGCTTCACACGTTTCCGCCAAAGCTTGCAGTGGTGTTGTCAACATTAAGGAATTGCCGAGAAGAAGTCCCATTGCCGGGAATCTCAACTTTGCGTCTCCCTGCACAAGTAATAATTTCCACATGAGAGTCACAAAAAAGCATTGTTGAATACAGATCAGCACATCATACGGGATAGAAAGTAACAACGCAAAAAAATAGTAATTCGGACACATACGTATTCATGAAACTAGCCAAATTCAAAAATACTGTATATCCCAATCCATTACATCCGACGATGCATTTGTCAATCTATGAAAATCAACCCACAGGGGGATTATATACATATATGACTTGAACGAAGCACCACAATGCATAAGCTCATCATGTTTTCGCCAAAAACCACCCAACAGAATACGATTAGTGTTGTCATCTTGCACAATATCATATCTAATATTGCCTTTACACAAGTTACAAAATAGGCAAGGTGGCGAATATGAAAAACCCGAATCAACCAAAAGAATGCACAAACAAATCAGAAACATCTGGTGCAGGAACTCACCGTCATACCTGACATTTTGATTTTGGCAACATATGGTGGATCTCATACACTCCATGTACAGCATTTCCAAATGACGAAACAAGATTTTCGACTTTAAATGGAAGAGAAGGCAACTTCCCGGGTTCTAACAACGAAAAACACTTTATGTCAATATGCAGATGAGTTTCAAATTAAGTAACACCACCAATTCTTGCAACAAAATAATGTACTTACTACTAACCTACGATGCACGGACATGGACACGGACACAGAGATACAACTCAAGATACCTCGAATTAACAAGAAGAATTGTTGTATGACCACGAGGGAATACCACATGACACGGGTATACGACTGTTTATATCAATGTGCATATGAGTTTCAATTAATACAACTTTTTGGCTCTCAAAGGTAATGCAAAAAAAATTACAATATTCAATAACTTTCGTCTCCTCACATTTCCACTCGTATGCAAGCTTATTCATTCAGTTCAATTTAGGGAAGAAAAAAATGGAAACTTTTTAAATTTTAGTTTCCTTGACTTTCTCAGTAACCAAACAGAAAGTAAAATTTCCCAAATTCGAAAACTCAAGGTCACTAAGAAATTCGAAGTCACATTCGAAGTCACAAGTGAGCAAAAGCAATGGGTACAGACGGAAGTACTGACCGGAAAGATTGGGCTTGAAGGAAATTTGATCGGACGGCGGAGATCGGCAGGAGTTCTTGGGGTGAGTGAAGAAGCAGCAAAAGAAACGGGGTACCACTGCCATTAGGTTCGGATAAACGTTGGTGTTTGTTTCCAGGGGGATTTTCGATATAAGCAGTCAGAATCTCTGTCTGTACAAAAAAATGGTTTTATTTACATTACTGCCACTGGTTATCCGACGCGATCACATATCATTTTATTTTGGATTATTTGGTGGCGTAATGTCGCTTAATTATTTTTTGGACTAAATATCAGTTTAATACCTCAAGTTTCGTGGTTTTCAATATTTGGTACATGAAGTTTTTTTCGTCCAAGAGTTATACTTAAAGTGTTAATTTTGGGACAGTCTCATACATCCGTTAGTCTGACTTTTAAGTATTCCGTTAACTGATGACGTGATGCCTATATGGATAATGACTAGGCATCATGTGTCGTTAAGGGATCTATGTGGAAATTAAAAATTCAAGCTTGCCCCACTTGGACATTTAAAAATAATAAAAAATTAAAACTTAAAAAAAAAAATTAAATTAATTTTTTTTTCTAGGCTGTCTCCTACTTTTCCCCCCAAGTCCCAACCCTTCTCCTTCCCTCCCTCCCTTCTCTCCTCTTTACCCACCCAAATTAATTGATTCTCCAACTCCCACTTCGATGGTCACCGTTCCCCTCCTTTACCACTAGTTTCCACTTTAATTAATTCTTGCTTTCAATTCTTCTTCTCTACACGAGGACACCCAAATCTTGCAGGTACTATCTCTCCTCCTCGATCTGTCTTTCTCTACCTCTATGATTTTTAATTTTTTTTCTTCCATTTTTTGTGAATTTGAAGGAAGTTCAGAATCAAATCTCCGCCAAGAACAAGTGGATTTGCAGGACGTCAGGGTCTCTAGGCTAGATGTGGGTAGGGGTTCGATTCGGAAGTGCCCAACGGTACGAATTCTGGGTCGAATTCGGGAAGATCCACATTGGCGTCGGATTTCGAGCAAAGGCTCGGAGGCCTTGACTGAATCCGAAGGAGGATGGTAGAGATATGCGGCCTTGGGCTTGGCGTGTTGGAGGATTGGGCTTCGTGAATAACTTATGCGGCATCGTCTCTTGGTTGAGGCTGGGTTTTGGGGTGTGGAGGATGGGGTTAGGTTTTGGGATGAGGAGGATGAGGGTTTGGAGCGGAAGACGTAATAGTTAGACTAACAGATGTATGAGATTGTCCCAAAATTAACACTTTAGGTATGACTCTGGGACAAAAAAAACTTCATGTACCAAATGTTGAAAACCATGAAACTTGAGGGTAGTAAACTGATATTTACCCTTATTTTTTTATTTTTTTGGTTACAAATGGTTGTTTAATACTCTAGCGTCTTATGTAAACATTTCGATTCGTGTTTAATAATATTTAACATTTCAACAAAAAAAAAAACACAAAGCAAAAAGGGCCAAACAAACTACACACCAAGGTCCAAACCATATACACAACACAAAATTGGACCTTACAAACCACACACAAAGGGCCAAAACAAAGGTTAAAGCCCAAAAACAAAGACCCATCGAAAAAGAACCCTTGTCTTTTGCTACAACTGCCTCTGTAGCACCGCACGAACAGCAGGAACCAAGTACACCATCGGACACCATAATTCCAACCAATCAACACCTCAGAGATAGGAGGAAGAAAGACCAAAGGAGAAGAAAACAAAGAAGATTGTGAGAATCCCAAAAGCAACACTGCCAATAAAGGCAAACTAAGAGAATGAGTTGGAGCAGACACTCGAGCTGATATGAAGACCGAAACTCGACACACCTTCTCGATGTACCATGATAGATCATGGTCAAAAGTGACTGCAGACCAAACAAGGGTATAAATTGATGAAGGATGATGCCAAATCGAAAATAAATAGGATCAGCTTTGTGGGGATAGATAAGGGACATGAAGATGGAGTGATGGATTGGATGGATATAAGGAATTAATTGAGTAGGAATAATGGCATCAAGGATGCATGGTCGCACTGATTATGATGGATAGCAGAGGAAGAGTAGTAACAGAAAATAAGGGAGGGAAAAGCAAAAAGAAAAAAAAAAAAAGGATTACCACCGACCCTAGCCATAGCTTGGGTCGGCTGCCGAACGGAAAAACCAAGAACAAAAACCTCACACCAGAGGTGAGAAAGAGTCTCAGTTAGAGAGAAAGACTCTCATCGACTCGGGAGAGAAGGTTAATGTCGCTTAATTATTAAGTGTGTTCTTTTTCCAAGAGTGTTTCATCTCTTCATCTACTTTCTAATGAAATTTTTATTTATAAGTTTGTTTATCTGTAAAATGACTGACAAGAACCTTACAAGATTTGTAATAATATTAATTTGGGCACGAAAAGGTAATAGGGGCCCTAGACTTACATTGGGTTGTGAAAAAAATGGACAACAGGTAAGCCGAATTTGGAAACAAAAATCATAAAAAATGAGGAGATAAGGAATTCTGAAACGAAAAAGTGTGAATGCCATTTTAAATTAAAGGTAATAAGGTAGCAACTTATGATGATTGAATTCTGTGGTAGTTATTAAAGTGCATAATCACACATCAGCTCAACATTTGAAGGTTAATTCATTTGTTGTAGATTATTGTCGGAAGAGACTTCGTTGTTGAAGAAATAGTATTTCAATCTTAAGGACTAATAGTAGGTGGGAAATAGCATATTAGAGGTTATTTCAAAGAATAATAGTGGGCGAGGAAATAACATTTAATTTTTAAAATTTTTATGGTAGGTGAGATTATAATGTGAGTGGAAAAATAAGACTTTGGATGGGTCTAGGAACTTTAATTTCTTTTTTTATTTTACTTGACATGAAACGTCCATTACACCCTTTGTAGCTAGTAGAAACCCTTTTTTTTTTCCTTTAGAAAAGAAGTTTCATAATTTCATTTCACAGCTAAAAGGCAACTCATTTAAAAAGTAGGAAGGCTCTCCTCTTAAATTACATCACAAATAAAATTGAGAGGTTCCTCAAACCAAGTATAAACATCTGAATAACGGAGAGCAAGGCGTGTTAGGTGATAGGTAGCCTCGTAGCTTGACGGCGGACATGGGAAGAAGTTTCAATTACAACTAACAACAAAGCATTTGAATCATCGATTAATGGACTTATAGAAGCTTGATTCAAAATGTTCTGCAAAGCCGTTATGATAAAAAAAAGAATCGCTCTCAAGAATGAAATTTTGATATCCCTTTTACATAGCCATATTAAACCTTATCTAACAGCTAAAGCATTCACTTGTGGTAGAGAAGCCACATTGTTGAAGTTCTGCACACTCAATGAGTCTCATTCTATGTTCCGTCAACATTAATCTTAAGTTTGTCAAACCTAAGGAAGGAAGGAAAAGGGTATGGGAAATCTCCTGCCACCATATTAGAGCACGAGATACAATTTGATCAGATAATACATTGGAACCGGACCATAGTTTTAAAATCTCGGCGTTCCATATTGCCAACAAAATCATAATGAAGCTTTCAAACTCATATTTTTCAGTCTCTAGTTTGGTTCAAGGACCCATAGATAAAAGGATTTGCCTAGAAGAATAGTGTGAGGGATACCCAGATTAGATGATATCATAGTTGGGGTTTCACCATAAAATTAGTTGATAATATGGGAAACAGTCCAATTACTTATATGCACATGCAATGTCTATTTTTTCATTGATGTAGAATTCACCCTTAACATACCTTCTCACTTATGGAGAATTTTCAAGCCTAACACATGAACAACACAAATCGGGTGACATGGAGCATGTGTGGCCGTTGTGGAACAAAAAATAATCAAGAAAAATATGGAGGCAATACGTGGATTTTTGGGTTTAAAAGACAAGATTACGCTTGAGACACATCAGAACTCCTACGTGCGAGCAACGAATAATCATCACTCAATCAAGGTTAAGAGTGATCAAAATAGGTATTTATTCAAAACCTATTTCATCCATCCTCATCAAAATTTCCCCACAAGGTAACTCCCAAATTATTTCTTTCAAATTATATTGATTAGCTAATTAATTTGTTTATTACTCAATTAATTCATTAATTAGCTAATTGATGGTGATTAACACCCAAAAAGCCACTAAAGTGGGCGGTTCACATCTTTCCCAAAGGGGCCGGCCACACCCCTATAAATATCACCCCATTTTCTTCAAAAACCTAAGTTGAATCCTCTCACAAAATTCTCTAAATTCTCCAAACTTTTTTCCCTCAAAATTCTAACCTTGGCATCTGAGGTTCATCAGCCAACCCCCCATTTATCGTGGGCGTGTGAGGCTCTTGACCTTGACCTAAGGTGTTTATTATTTTTGAGGTGCATTTTCGTCCAAGAACAAGAAGAAAGAAATTTGCATCCACAAATTGGTGCTTTCGTTGAGAGTCTTGATCAAATGCTCGTAGAAGATTTTTGCATTCAAGATTTTTCGTTTTCTTGTTCATTTGTAGATTTTTTGTACGTTATTATTCTTGAAATTTTTATTTCTAAAAATTCTTTGATAAAACATAAAAAGAAAAGTACAATGGCAAGAGATTCGGAAACCTCGACGAATGGAAATTCCAACGTTCAAGGATTAGGACTGCATCGATCTACAAGGCTCAACACAACGATGAGTGGAGCGGTATTACCCCTATAGTGCACCATCATGGCAACCACCACGACAACCATCATCGGTAAGGCCCATAGTGTCACAACCACGGCCTAAGCCATGCCATTCAAACCCACACGGGCCCAAGCCTAAGGCGAGACGGCCCGAGCCACTTGATGCGAAAATTAACTTAACACACAAATTAAACCCTCTTTTGACAATTGTAGTATATAAGTAAGTAGGGATCGTTCTTAAACCGGGGATTATGAGGGATTGCTAAACACTTTAAACTAACTCAAATAGATAAAACTAATCTTTAAAACACTTAACTCAACTTAAAAGACTCAAAACAAGTTCACAAGACTCAAAATAAGCTAAAAACACTCAAAACTGCCTAAAACACACAAACTGGGCATATTTGACTCTAAACACAATTTTGGACGAATTTTGGTTCTAATTTGACTCAAAACACTTGAAAACACAATCTAAAACAAATTTTAACTAGTTAGACACTCTAAAATAAAGGGGGATTTGGTTTTGGACGAAAATAAAGTAAACAAAACAAGAATTTAAACTAGGCAGATTTTCACCTCCCCTCACATCCAAAAACCCACCCCACCCCCACCTTCCCCGAGCCCTTTCTCCTCTTCACCCCCACCCCCTTTCTCCATTCTCTCATATGCAACCCCACCCACCATTTTCTCCTCTGCAACTCCGAGTATCTCCGGTTTGCATGTAGTAGACACAGTTGGGCATGCTGAGTCTTTCCGGGTACAACTCGGTGCTCGTCAGCCCCAATTGCCACATTTGCTCTACAATTCACCCCCAAACCAGAACAAAACCCCAATCACAACCCCATATTACCAAACCAAACACAAACCCTAGATTATGAAATTAGCCTAAATCGAGCTCAAACAAAGCGAAATTAAAACGCAGAGCAAGTAAAAAAGTACCTTCGAGGCCGGTCTCTCTGGCTGCAGGGCTCAATTCCTGGTTTGACTCATTTCAGGCAGGCTTCTTCCGTGTAACTCTATCACAAAAATGACAGCGTGTTGGGTTTGCTGTACACCTTCAGCAACTATGAAGAGTAGAGTAAAAGGGAAAGAGAGAGCTGTACAGGATTCCCAACACCCTTCTAAAGAGGCCTTGAAGGATCGGAGAAGCTCAATTGAGTGAAAGAGAGAAGGAGAAAGGGGGTGAGGGTGAAGAGGAGAAAGGGCTCGGGGAAGGTCGGGGTGAGGTGGGGGTAGGTTCTGCGTTTTAGTAAATTTTTTTTAAAAAATAAAAAATTATTATCATTTTTTAAAATAAATTTTTTTTTTACCATGTGACACAAATGTGACAGCCACGTCAGCTTTTAATGGATCAATGGATAGAAAATGTAACAGATGTATTATATTGAGATAAAATAGCACTTAAGGTATGAAAGTGAAATGTTTTAAAGATGTTGTAAGGAATTAAAATTGATCCTAAACCCGAGATAGTAAAATGCAATTTACTATTTTTTTTAACTGCTCTAAGCATTGTTCATAATTTCCTGGGCTTTGCAATCTATATTGGTGCACTCCGTAATGTGTTGGGCTCAATGCCCAATATGCAACTGCGAGTGGTAAAAAATAAAAGCCCAAACGGCGTTATCCTCCGATCGCCTTCGAGTTCAGTCTTCCTTCCTCACACCCTCCTTCGGATTCCCGCGCTTTGAGCTCCTCTAGGGTTTAAGATTGGCTCCTTCAGAAGCCACTGCGAACCCTAGAGTTTTGAAGGCGACGTCGTTTTGGTGCTGATGGACGTAGAAATGGACGCTTCTCCAAGCTTCTTCGACCCTGAAGACCTCACAATCAGAGAGAAGTTTCGTAGATACGGGTTCGGATCCAGATTTCCCAACCTAGCTGAATTTAGTGTGTTTTTTTTTGGTTGATTTTGGGTTTTCTGGGATGAAGCTTCATTCATAAGTGGATCTTTTAGTTATTTTTTGGTGAAATTAACTGAAATTGATTTTACTTTGATTGGTAAATGTTGGTTCAAGCATTAGGGTTTTGATGTCACATTGTGAAGGTTAATTCTAATGAGGCATGATGTGTGTGTATTCCATATGGATATGTTTTGCAGTTTATATTCAAATTACTTAAATTTCGCAGTATTGTTACGAGCTTTTGCTTTTGCATGTTTGAAGTGAAATTTTCTGGGTGTTTTTGGAACCGCAAATCGTATACATTTTGTGGTTTTGACTTATTGATTTAATGTAATGCCAGGAAAAGGCACTTGACTTCAAGCATATCGCCCCACCAAGAGAATTCAGCTTCTAAATACAGTGAACCTAGGCTACTATATGACGGGCAGAATATACATAGCCCGACCAATGCTGCACTTCTTCTCGAAAATATTAAACAAGAGGCTGAAGGCATTGATGCTGATCACTTGGAAAGAACTTCTTTCTCAAGAAGGAGGTTGCCCATTGATGGTGCTGATATGGATGAGAAGCATGAGGAGGATTCACTGGCTGATGATGGAGATCCAACCTTTAGCCTTTTTGCATCGCTACTTGATTCTGCTCTTCAAGGTGTTTGAGCTAGACATACCTAATAATATAGTACTGAATTTAGACTTCTGTTTATTATGTTTATATCCATTTTCAATATTTCTTTTGAGAGTGCTTCTTCTCAGTTTTATTAATTATATCAACTTTTCCTGATGAGCAGTTTGATGTAGCATTTAATTGACTAACCTATTTATCTTTTTACTGGTTTGCAGGGTTGATGCCTTTTCCTGACTTGATACTAAGATTTGAAGAATCCTGCCGAAATGTTTCAGAGTCGATTAGGTATGTTTCTGTTATTGAAAGTACTTTTTAAACTGGTATGGAAGCTTTTAGTACCGCCATACGCATAAATGCATCTTCTGGTTTCTTCTACAGGTATGGTTCCAACATTAGGCATCGTGTTGTAGAGGACAAGTTGATTAGGCAGAAGGCTCAACTCCTGCTTGATGAGGCTGCTTCCTGGTCCCTTCTGTGGTACCTTTACGGAAAAGGAAATCTATCTCTAACTTTGAAGTTTTATTCTAATGCTAATCTATTTAAAAAAACCATTTCTAGGAAAAAACTGCATAAATTTTTGGGTGTTTTTATAGGTTTATCAACTATATACCAAGTTGTTTTATTCGTAGTTGTTGGAAATAAAAATTAATTTCTTTTGTTCCCTTTAGGTTAATAATATTTGCTCTTGGTTGCAAGTCTTACACTTATTAGCTTTGAGTTTAGTGTGACAGTTATTCTTCTTCTTGCAGGGACTGAAGAAATCCCAAAAGAGTTCATCTTGGTAATTCATCTTCCTTGTCATTAGTTGTTTGATTGGAAAAACATGTGAATTTATCTATTTTTTAATAGAAAATTTAATATATTTCGAAGTACAGGGAGGTTAGCCAAAAAGCAAAAAAAAACTCATTTAAACATATTGACTCATGACAGTTGCCCTCAACATCACACTTGGAGGCTTGCCAATTTGTCATAGAGGACCATACGGCACAATTATGTTTACGCATTGTTCAATGGCTAGAAGGCTTAGCCTCCAAAGCACTTGACTTGGAAAGAAAGGTTACCACTTTCTGCTATAATTTTCCCCAGAATATCTTTAATTGTGCACAATGATTATTCTCTGGTTAATATACCAATATGTTATCATGCAATCTTTTAGTTCTAGTGTCACATCACGGCATGTATTGGCCTGTTTACTTGGCAAAGACAGTGAGCTTTCGCTGCTTATTGTAGCTTTTTGTGTATCAGGAGGAAGTTTTGAAGTTGGAAAATTTAATACTTGTAGGTGCGGGGTTCTCATGTCGGTGCCTGTCTCCCAAGCTCTGGAATTTGGTATCATACTCAATGCTATCTTAAGAAAGGAGCCTCCAGTACAAATACCATTCATCACTTGGATTTTGATGCTCCGACACGTGAACATGCTCAACTACTACCTGATGACAAAGTATTTTTTTTTTTCTCTCACAAATTTAAGTTTTCTTAGATTTTGAAGTGCCATGCTCTATTCCTCTTCACTTGTAAGTGAGAGGTCTTAGGTTCGATCCTCGCCAAAGGCAAATTTGAACTACATTATTGCTAGCCCATTGTGAGGCTAAGCTCACCCCGTCCCCCTAGTATACATAATATCGTTTGTTCACAAAAAAGAAAATTATAAACTTTACAAATTAATTATCTGCTATAAAATGGACTTTCAAATTAACTAGGTTGTGTAGAGGATTTTTTCTATGACTGCCGCTTGTGCTTTGCTATCCTGAAGTTGCTAATGGATTAATTCCCCTAGTGGACTTCACTGTCATGAGGTTTTGGCACAAAGCTTACATTTGATCAAGTGAGCATGTAAGGAAGACAGTATAGTACGTAATGGATTATATATCAAGTTGTAAGTAGAATATTACTGGCATTATATATTTTCTTTTAAGAAGAAACAAAGAATATCAAGATGTAAGCTGCTGTGTGGAAAGATGATGGTCTTTATAACATTGTGAACTTTCTTTGTGTGTTGTCTGGAAAATGCGTTTAAAATTATTGAAAGTACTTTAGATCCCGTGGAGTTGTAACTGATACAGTACGTGTGTATTTGTGCTGCAAGACAACAAGGATTGGTCTACCCATAATTGTGTTAGGCTCTACATTATTTGTATTGAAGGGGCCAGGATTTGTTAAGTAAGAAGCAATTAATTCAAAACCCAGCTCCAACCCTCACCCCTTCTTTTTGGCTAGTGATGCACAAATCTACTTTTAACTTTAGTTATCAACTTGTAATTTTTCTATGTCAAAGAATGTTATCTAAAGGGGCTTTGTGACATTTTAATTATCTGCTAATTTCTGTTGGTTCAGAATATCTGCCATATGTAACTTCTATTTTTTTTGTGCATGTACATTTCTATCAGATCGAATTTAACAGTTTTACGCCTGCAGAAACAAGATGAATCTCTGTTGGAAGATGTCTGGACTCTTTTAAGAGCTGGAAGACGGGAGAGGCATGTCACCTTTGCCGGTCTGCAGGACAGGTTAATGAAGTTCTGAAAAATATGGGATAATACTTTATTTTATGTTAATGTTGCTCCTTAACACCTGCTAACATTTTGGTAGCCATGGAGAGCTGCAACTTTGTGCATATTTGGAGGAATTGATGATTTTCCTTCAGTTGAAGCCTTGGTGAAAAATGGAAAGAAGAGAACTTGCAAGCCATTGAGTTGGAAAGTGGCATTGGCCATCAATGGCATCTGTGGAAATGGGCATCATATTGTGCATCAGAGGTAGAGTTGAAAGGAATTGGCAACATAAAATTTCTGTCCTTTTGTATGGATTTCATACATTGTTAATACTGAATATGTAAATATTTTGTGTTCTGCTCGCTGGTCTTCTCATTGTTCTTGATGTTATAGAATTATTTGTTGCTTTTTATTCCTTTCTTTCCCCCCCGAAGTATTTTAACATGCTAAATTTCGTTTCTATCTATTTTGAAGAAAATAGCTGAGCAAGATGCTGGGAAATATGAAGCAGCAGTGTATGCAGCACAATGTAGCAATATAGGGCGCATGCTTCCAATCTGCACTGACTGGGAGGTATTTGTCCCCTTGACCCCAAAGTTATAAGAATCCTCAAAATCTTTTTTAATTTGATCTGTTGTCTTAACTGCTGATTTTTAATGTGGGTTTGATGAGTCAGTAGCTTTTTTTACATTTACTCTTTATTGTTTCAAATTATGGCGTGCTACAGTCTGTTCATAACTTCCATCAAAAATTAAAAACGCCACTTTTGTTTGGTGTGAATGTTGTTATGCTTGCTGCACTCTAAAATTAAATACAAAAGTTTATGAAATAAAAAACACATGCCACAGGGCCACAACCTGAGTACCCTCGATCTCCACTCCCTCCCTCCCTTCAACTTAAAAGTAGAATTGAAGAACCCTTCACTCTTCCTTTCCCCCATCCTTCAATTAAAAAGAGTCTTAGAGTACTTGAATACAAAAATCAGATAATTTTCTTCTTTTCTTTTGCTGCTTTCCCAATTTAACTAGAGGTTTGTTGATTTTTTTAGTGGTTGACAATACCCTTTTGTAATGGCAAGACTGCCCTAATTTAGATGCATTAACGATAGAAAGGAGGGCGATAGTTGGGCTGGTGGGACATATCAGCGTGGTTTCAGGGGGAAGGGGGCTTGCAATTCGTTTGTGGTTTTTTTATTTTTTTTTATTTTTGAGTATTTAGTGTTTCAGTTTTTCAGTAAGAGTAGAATTTGTGAACACAGATGTGTGTTGGGGTGTGACTAGACAAGCTCTTCTTTTTTTCTTTCCCTTGTAATTGCACCTTCAGTTTTAGACACTTTTCGTAAATCTAACCAAGATAGTTGCAGTCAGCATGCTGGGCTATGGCGAAATCATGGTTACATGTTCAGGTGGATTTGGAATTGGCTCATTTGGAACCGGGAAGAATGGATCAATTTAAAAGCATTGGAGATGCAATTGATGGAAATCCTGGACATAGTGACGGAGCTGTTCAGCCTTCAAATGGACCAGGAATTTGGCCACTCCAAGTTTTTAACCAACAACCACGACAACTTTCAGATCTACTCCAGAAACTTGAATCAGGGTATATATACAATGCAGTTTTCATTCTGATTTTGAGCTGTCCTTTTCTGCAGTATTGCTTATTGTTAATGAAAGAATGTTTATTTGAGATGAAAATTTTAAATTGTTTGGATTAGGGAATTGGTTCATGAAAGTGTTACTCGAGGATGCAAGGAGCAGCAACGCCAAATTGAGGTATCTTCACAAAACAATTAGTTCATTGTCTTGTTGTTTCCATGGAAAATAGTTCCACCATATAGTTTCTTTGATTGGAAACTTTTTTCTATTGTTTGATTCAATGGGAAATTTTTCTCTTGGGGAAATTTCTTTAGGACATGCATTTCTTTTTTGATAGAAATGTATTTTTGTTAACAAAAAAAGAATCACTCTTAAATCTACCAAACAAACAAAAACAGAGTCAAAGAAAATGTTATGGATAAGGTTTCCCAAACACTTGTGCTAGGTTGAAGCCTTTATCAAATGTAATTCTCAAACACTTGTGTTAGATTGAACCCTTGACAAAAATATAATGAGAAGATAATCATATTTTTTTGAGGAAAATTTTCTTAAGAGACGTTTTCAAAAACAAATTCTTTCGGTGGAAAACCTTTCCTCAAAGAAATTTGATTTCTTCTGAAACAAATTTCTATGAAATTGTGTAAATGTTATCACTTGAAATATATGTGCATGTTTCTTCTTCTTGACAAAAGAATTGCAATATGTGTACTATTCCTTTTTATAAGTCCTCACTCCTACCTGTATTTCATACTTCAGGGCCTGCTTTCGTTTCTTTTCTTTTTTATTCAAAGGAAGGATATAAAGTTTTCTGTACTTATAACAACAAATTGTCTGACAGATGAAACTAATGTTAGGAGATATCCCACAATTGCTGGACATGATATGGTCATGGATAGCCCCTTCAGAAGATGATCAGAGTTTCTTCAGGTAATGTTGGTTAATTGCATTCACCTCAGTTCTCTGACCTCATATGTGTTAGAGACAACTATGTTTCAGAGGAACAAGTGAATTCTTTGTTCCTGGGCCCTTCAACATTTGATAACATTTTGTATGACCAAATATTAAACTCACACAAACCAGCATATTTTCTGCCTCCCGGAAAGACCCAGTGACTGAGATGGCTGAAAAATGTATCAGCTCAATGCAATATGCAAGTTCTTGAAATAGATGATCACGATATAATGATTCTCCATGTTACTTTCTTTGGTGATTTCTTTTGTACATGAATGTCTTGGTTTCAACATATTTTTGTGACATTGGTTTCGATATTTTTTGTAAACAAATTTATTGCAGTTTTTCATGTTCTGCTGAAACAAACAACATAAGTAGTTGTCTAGTTTCATAGGATTGGTTTAATGACTAATGGGGCGTTGTGTTTTTTTTTTGTCAGGCCTCATGGAGATCCTCAGATGATTCGATTTGGTGCTCATCTAGTACTTGTGCTTAGATATTTACTTGATGATGAAAATAAGGACACTTTGAGAGAGAAGATTATGAATGTTGGTGATCTCATTATACACATGTAAGTAGCTTCAAATCATGTCTTTTGCAATTGTTATGTGATACGGTATTCACTATTGTTGAATAACATTTTGTGAAACCGATGAGGATGATGAACAAGAAGACAAGAACTTGGGGAAGCAATATGGGACAAAGTTTGGAGGAACCCATGAATGAGATGAGTGTGTAGAGAGGGTGGTTCTCATGCCCTTCGAGGCAGCTTGATTTTTGTCTTAAATGGACACGAAGATTTCTGGTGTATTGCAAGAGGATTGTGTGTGTGTGTGGATGCACTATTTTGTTTATTGTTTGTTAATGGTTGGTGACTCTGATCTAGGTATGCCATGTTTCTCTTTTCCATACAACATGAGGAGTTGGTGGGTATATATGCTTCTCAACTTGCACGCCACCGTTGCATTGACCTCTTTGTGCACATGATGGAACTGAGGCTGAACAGCAGGTTAATGTTTCTGTGTACAATGTTCTCCCATTACCTTTTTAACACAAAGCATGTAGGGTATTCAAATTTGTAAAATGTATTGTAAATTTTTGTTAGCAAGATATCGCAAATTGTAGGGTATTCTATGCGGGGTCCTATAATTTTTTTTCTGTGGATGGAGGGGACGTGGAGCTTTATTTATTACCTGGTATATATAATATATATATATATATATATATATATATTATTTATTTATTCTATGTCGTCTCTTAACAGTGTGCATGTCAAATATAAGATCTTCCTTTCTGCTATGGGGTATTTACAATTTTCTCCAGTGGACAACTCAAAAGGAAGTTTTGAAGAGATTGTTGAGAGGTATTTCGGTTTCTTTGTTATCCTACTTTACTTTTGGGATGGGAAGAAAGCAATTTGATTTTTCTGTACCTTATTCTACTTCTAACAAACTGTTTAAACAGGGTTCTGTCAAGATCTCGGGAAATGAAAGTTGGCAAGTATGATAAGTTATCAGATGTTGCAGAGCAGCACCGGCTGCAGAGCCTTCCCAAAGCTATGGTTATCCAGTGGCTATGCTTTACACCCCCCTCCACAGTTACTAATGTCGGGGATGTCAGTACAAAACTTCTTCTACGATCTTTGACACACAGGTAATGGTTGTACCATGTTGTATAGCTCCGTATGTGCTTGTGGAACCTTAAACTGGTTTCTGGTCAGTACATAATTCTAAAATCATCTAACAGCACGAAAGAATAGTTCAGTTCTTTTCTTTTTGTGATGTGTTAAGGATGATGTATACTTTCTTGCAAGAAAACAAAAGGTGATTTATATCTTAAAGTTGTAGTTCTCGTCTTGGTGAGGATAGTTTCCCTAATTGTTATACTGGTTCCGTGAGATTCTTTAGGTGGTATTTGTTGTCCCTAATTGTTGTACTAGTTCCATGAGATTCTTTAGGTGGTATTTGTTGCTGGTACATTCTCATTGCATCTTCCTTGCCTGTCCTATTTTGTTTCTATCTGTGATTTCCTCACTTTTAACCTCCCATTTTCTTCTTATAGCAACATATTGTTTCGGGAGTTTGCCCTGGGTTCAATGTGGAGAGTTCCTGCAATGCCCATTGGTGCTCACACATTACTTAGCTTCCTTGCTGAACCTTTAAAGCAACTTTCAGAATCTTCTGATACCGTGGAGGTTTACAACGTTTCTCAGAACCTGAAAGAGTTCCACGATTGGGTAAGCTTCATTTTTATGCCTCTCTCTCTGTCCAGTTAACAGTGTCAACTTATTGGTAAGTATGTTATCAAATCCTTGTGAAATTTTATATAACATTTACGTATGTGGATATTAATTTGTTTTTTATTTTGAGCAGAGCGAGTATTATTCTTGTGATGCAAAATATCGCAACTGGCTCAAAATTGAATTAGAGAATGCAGAGGTGTCCCCCCTTGAACTCTCAATGGAGGAAAAACAAAGAGCCGTTTCAGCAGCCAAGGAGACTCTGAATTCATCTTTGTCATTGTTACTGAGTAAGCTGATTATTTCTCTTTCTAAATGTGAAAACAAGCTCAGAAAGATATCTGGATTGGCTTGTGTTTGTTCAAATAAAATTTCCCGAGGACAATGGCTTTAGATCCATTATTGTCCTTTTTTTTTTCCTTTCTATTTTTCACCTTTTTCAGATTTAATAGTTGCTTGACATATAAGTAAGTTGTCTTTGTATATAGGAACTGAAAATCCTTGGTTAGCTTCAGCTCAAGATCATTTGTATGAATCTGTGGAACCTGTATTTGTTGAATTGCATGCCACCGCAATGCTTTGCTTGCCATCTGGTGAATGTTTGCCTCCAGATGCAACCGTGTGCACTACATTAATGAGTGCTCTTTACTCTTCAGTGAGCGAGGAAGATGTGTTGCATAGGCAACTAATGGTATGTTTATTTGTTTGCGGAAAGGAAGAAAGGATAAAAGAAACGTGCATTGATAGATTCTCAAAACTAAGAATCAAAGCTTCTCTTGGTGTGGGTTCTCATTGGTGGGAACAATAATAGAGGCTTACACTGTCCAGAATATTGTCCCTTTACCTACCTAATCTTTTATGCACAAACCTTTCCGTTTCTTTCTTCTTTTTTCTTTTGCTCACAAACAGGAATCTTTTTGTTCTTCTGTAGATAAATGTCACCATATCCTCAAAGGACAATTACTGTGTCGAGGTGGTGCTTCGCTGCTTGGCAGTGGCAGGTGATGGTCTTGGGTCACAGGAAAACACTGATGGGGGTATTCTTGGTACTGTAATGGCTGCTGGCTTCAAGGGTAAGCAATATTATTGATACTGGAGTTCTGTGTTCTTTGCTCAAGGTCCCTCTCTGGTTTTCTTTGATCTTCCAACTAGATTTTTAGGGCTCGGGCTTTTTGGCTGTGCTCAATGTGAGTGAATCTTATATTGGAAATTCTAGAAAAAAGCAAAGGTTAATAAATGGATTGTTCGGCAGCTCTCTATGTTCAACCTAACACAATCTTCACAAATTGATCAAAGTGCTGGTCACGTTGCTAGAGAGTCAAAATCGAATGAATTCTAATCAACAATTGACAACAAAATTTCTTTACAAACAGAAGAAACATTGTGAAAGTTTAACAGGATAATTGAAGGAAAAAGAAATGTACTATTCGAATGCTGAATGAAAGAAATAGTAGGAGAAAAGGTGATTGAACTGAATAATTTTCATCGCAGGTGAGTTGCCTCGTTTTCAAGCTGGAGCTACCATTGAGATTTCCCGATTAGATGCCTGGTATTCGAGCAAAGAAGGTTCCTTGGAGAGCCCAGCAACGTACATTGTGCTGGGTCTATGTCGTAAGTGCTGTATTCCAGAAGTCATTCTTCGATGCATGCAGGTAACCTTCTTCCCAAGTGGCCTTGTACTTGAAATTTATTGAATGATTCCATACAGTAACAAGAACTGTGCACACCTTTTAATTGTGTAATTTATGTCATAATATGCAGGTCTCGCTTTCGCTTATAGAGTTGGGTGTTCCACCTGAAAGCCATGATCAGTTGATTGAATTAGTTGCTAGCTCCGAAGCTGGATTTCTTCATTTGTTTAGTCACCAACAACTGCAGGTAATAGATACTTCTCATTTGTTCACCAGGTTGACAATTTATAACTTGAGGCTTTAAGCATATTGTCCCTTTGTCTATCGATCTCCCACTTTTAAACAATTGGATGTAAACGTCTACTCTTCCTCCTAAAGGCACATTTGCATCGTAAATTAAAACCCTTGCCATCAAAATTTCAACTGATAGCCATTGCCCTCTGGCCTCCGCCATACCATAACATAGCCTTCACTTCTGAGTCTTGACTTCACATCATCCACAGATTCATCACTGAACATGTGCTGGGCCTTAAATTTGTCAGTTTTGGAATTATGTACTTATAAAGTACCCCGTAAGCTTATTTGATCATTCGGAAACTTCCGTGGAGCTCCCTCTTTTACTTACCCCTTTTTGCATCCGCTGATGAACATGACCCGACTTATCGAACCGCTGTCTCATCTGCAGGAACTTTTATTGTTTGAGAGGGAATATTCCATAAGCCAAATGGAGCTTGAAGAGGAGCTTTCTTCTTGACTTGTTGGTTAAGGCTATGTCTCTTGGTGCTCGCTGCAAGGCTGATAGGGTTGTAAAATGGTACGTTCTGTAGTTTTACCGTTCACAGGTATTCCGGATCAGTGACCAACGACGGCGGCACCACCACAATTTTTTCTACATTTACCCCGCTGAACTTGAGATGGAGATAGTGACAAATTTGAAGATTTTATCGTTTGTATAGGTTTTTGTTAGACTTCTCTATGTGGGTGGCTGAAATTTGAATGATAAAGATATTGTTTCTCCTGGTGTCGACAAATATCGATGTTATATTAATTTATTTTTGTCGAAAATGATCAATGTTTTTGACAATTTTTATTTTTGTAAACATGTTCTTATTGCTACTATTCATATCGTTTTTGGAACTGTTGTTACACGCAACCGGATGTCAACTATAACCTTTTAGGCTTACGGTGGTGATATCTACATATCAATTTTTAAAATTTTTGTTAATTCATTTGATTTGATGGTTAAAAATTAAAATAATGTATAAAAAGTATAAAAGATGTGTTAAAAATAAAAAGAAGGGTGTCGATAACAGTACCTTTTGCTTAATAAAAAGTGCAAACAAATAAAACACAAAAATAGACACTAGCCAATGAGAGATGTTTTATCTTCCTCCCAAATCCTAATCATATAAAAATCAAATCAGACAACATTAACAGTAGAAAAAACACAACCTTTGTACGACCCGTTTCTCTCATTCTCTGCCCTATTTTCTGTCAAATTCAACACTGACTAAATTGCAGACGCAGATTCCAATTAGGGTTTTGGTTTCTCTCTTCTTCTCCTCTGTTTTTATTTATTTATCATTAATTTTTGTTTGTTTGTTTCCAAATTTTATCGTCCTCCAATTAACTTCCCATGATCCGAGCTCGCCTGCATCCCAGCAACTACCTCGGATTCAAATTCTGAGAAACTCAATAGAATTCCGACCCAATCATGGGTGTTTCGTTTAAGGTTTCAAGGACCGGTACTAGGTTCCGTCCGAAGCCGCCTCTGCAGTCCGAGGCCGACGTTGCCGGTGATGACGTGTCGGAGACTCCCAATAACAGCAGCTCCCGAGCTGTCCCCAGAAAGCTCGAGGTAAAGTTTTGAGATTGGTGAATTTCTCTCTGTTTGGTTGCTGAGAAAATGTGGGGAAATGAGTGGCAATGTGAGAAAAAGAAATTGCTGATAATTGAACTTAATTTATTACTGTAATTTAGCGAAGTGTTTAATTTGTTGCTTTGCTTGTGTGATTACTTTACTGGGGTGTTTTTGGCTGTTCAAGATGTACAAGGGAAGAATTTACATAGAGGTTCACAGCTATTTTCGATCTTTCGGCATTTGGGTTTTGCTCACAAAGTGTGTCCAGGCGTTTTGTTGAGCCTGAATTTGAATATCTGGGTCGATTCTGCTAAATATTATTTATTTTTGAGTGGAAAGTGGATGTTGAGATCAAAATTTTTAGATCCAGCACTTTGTTTTCAAAATGGGTACTTAAATTAATTGTTGAAATTAAAAATTTCTGATCCATCACCTCGAGTTGAATGTTGAAGCTATATCCGTATCCAGTAAATTCTTAATCCCCCAAGGGCTATGGAGTTATTCTTTTGCTGCCCTTGATCAACTTAAAAGGTGCACGGAAGGAGACGCAGAACAGAATCCACATTATTTTCCTGGTTTCTTGCAACTGAAACAGAAATGAGCATTACTTTTTACTTATTCTGATATGGAATATGCAAGCAGAAAGCTTTCATTGTAGTTTGATTGAGAACCCTTGAATAAGGAGAATGAGTAGAGGGTTTGATGTGCCATTTGCATTCTATCCTTGTTTTTGACTAATTAGATTCTCTTATGGTATGTACAGGGTGAGAATGGGGCTGGGGTTTCTGGTCCACCAATGTCTTCTGAAGGGCTTCTCGTATCTGCAGGTTTGTCACAATTTTTTTAGGGGATTGGGGATTTGCCATTGTTTTTATCTTGATTTTTCTTTCCTTTGTTTTGACAGAAAACGAAGTTTCCTTCACTTTGAATCTCTTCCCAGATGGATACTCTATTGGAAAACCATCAGAGGTTTGTTAAAAAGAATAATTATGGATAAGACAGAAACATGGCTTTTTAAAATCTTGTTTCTTATTCTTAAGGTCTTCTGTATTTATGAATTTTCAGAATGACACTTCGCATCACGCTACACGTCAAGATGTTCCAAAGTTGTTACACCCATATGATAGGACGTCAGAAACTCTTTTTTCGGTAAATGTCTAGTCATTTGAATTTCCCCCTTTATTTCTTTTGAGTGTCCAGTTATGGTCAGAATGTTTTGCAATTTTTCTTTGGAAGATCAGTAGTTGCATGCAATATAGTATGGCATAAAACTCTTCCATTAAAATTTCGATATAAAGTTTTCGCTGTTTTGTTGATTCATTTAACTCCAGAAAACCGACTGTTATAATGATGGACTTGACCATTGATGAGCATGTATTACGTGCAATGAGTGTGTAAAACCAAACAAAGGAAAAATAAGAAAGAATGGTTTTTTCAAAAGGCGCTTCATCAATTTGTTATTTGATTTAAATAGTTTAGAAGTCACTTTATGCCACCTGCAACTCCTTCCTTGTCATCTGCATCGAAATTACTATCTGGAATTTCTTGCTTTTGTAGTTTTTTTTTTTTTTTTTTGTACTAAGATTTTCTTCCTTTTCCATTTGCAAATATATTTGTAGGCAATTGAATCTGGCCGGTTGCCTGGAGATATTCTAGATGATATACCTTGCAAGTATGTCGATGGAACACTTGTGTGTGAGGTGAGTTATCTTGTTCCGTAAGATTACCTATGCAAGAACAGTGAAATAATCTAATAGAAAAGTATTTCGAAATGGGAATAGGACAACAAACATTAACTAATTTTTACATTATTTAGCTATACTTTGTTTTCAAAATTGGTTATATGTGATTTCTTACAGATTCGTGATTATCGCAAATGTGCTTTTGAACAAGGGCCTGGTAGTCCCTCTACCAATGGATCTGTCATTGTAAATAAAGTATGCCTTAAAATGTCATTGGAAAATGTAGTGAAGGATATCCCGCTGATCTCAGATAATTCTTGGGCTTATGGTGACCTGATGGTATGTAACTAGATGTCTCCCATCCTTTCCAAATAGTTCTCTGTAATATGTTTGAGTTGTGATGTCAACATATAGTCTTCACTTTAAATTGCAGGAAGTGGAGTCCCAAATATTGAAAGCTTTGCAGCCACAACTTCATTTAGATCCAACTCCCAAGTTAGACAGGCTCTGTAAAAATCCAGTTCCCACAAGGGTAATGAAGTTTCAGGTTTAGTTGATGTACTTCACCCGGATGATTTGATGCATTTTAATCATATCAATTTTTGTGTTTGCAGCTCGATTTGGCATTGACTGGTATCCGGAGAAAGAGGTTGAGACAGATGCCAGAAACTGTCGCATCTAATAGCAAGACACATGGGAAGAAAGTTTGCATTGATAGAGTTCCAGAAAGATCTAACAGTAGGTTGGGAGATTCAGGAACCCTTCCAGGCAATATGACGCCACACGCCCACGAAAATTTGACCGATCAAAATATGAGTACAAATAACTTGTTGGCTCTAAGATCCAAGAGTTTTATGACCGATGCTTCTGTTCCAGCACCACATTTAGCACCGAACCAATCAAGGTATCAAATGGGGGTCGGAACCCCAAGAAGTGTGCAGGACGCTGGATCAGGAAGTGTTGTCAATGCATCACCGTCCCCTGTTGGGCAAGACATGATGATCTCGTATACTGACAATGTGAATGGTAATGTCCCTCTTCATGGAAAGAGAGAGCATCAAGATGGCCAAATGTCACCCTTATCTACGTTTAATAAGAGGCAAAGACCCACACCAGTTGGCCTTGATGGAATGCAACATCAGCAACTAGGGCCACATATGGATAGCTTCCATGGATCAGATATGAACTGGAAGAATAACTATTTGCAGCAGCAAGCAATGGCCAAAGGAATTCAGTTTTCAAATACAGGAATTCAGAAGTTTTCCCAGCAGATGTTTGATGGGGCGGTGAGTCAGGACCCTGGGACAATGCCATTTGCTGTAGGACAGCCAAACATGAGATATGGTGCCAAGGAAGAGCCGTTTGATATAGGTAAGATAGACGGGTCAGAGCTCAGTGGGATTAAGACCGATATGCCGATAATGGAAGGAGACACAAGCCATCTCGATCCATCAAGGCTTCACCAAAGATTATCACCGCATGCATTCATTAGATCTAATTTTTCTCAGCCATCCTGGAGTAATCTTGGTCAGAATATGGAGAAAGATGCAAGAAAGGATGATCAACTCCCAAAAAGAAAATCAGCTCAAAGTCCTCGGGTATCTTCTGGGGCTTTAGTTCAATCCCCATTATCATCAAAGTCAGGGGAGTTTTCTACTGGTTCTGTAAGACCCCACTTTGGAACAGCTGCAGTGACTTCTGCTTTAGCGGCATCACAGAAGGAGAAGGCAGCAATGACCTCAGTTCCTACTATTGGATCCTCATGTTTGGCTTCCAGTGCTAATGAGTCTATGCAACGGCAACACCAGTCTCAAGCTGCTGCAAAACGGAAAACAAACTCGCTCCCTAAGACCTCAGCAATGACTGGTGTTGGATCTCCTGCCAGCGTTAGTAATATAAGTGTTCCACTAAATGCAGGCAGTCCTTCTGTTGGAACTCCATCCTCCGCTGATCAAACCATACTTGAAAAATTCGCAAAAATTGAAGCAGTGACCATGAGGTATAACCCTATTTTTTACCCTTTGATCATAGGGTAATAATGGTACTAGTTTTGAATTTATATAAATTTCTTTGCACTATATCCCCAGCACTTTCTTTTCCCTCTCTACCTACAAAAGAATGTGAAAGGTGGATGGAAAGTTGAAATTTTTTAAATGTGTGTTCCTTAATTGTGTAAGCATTTATCAGGAATAGTTTCGACTCAAGGAGATAATGGTAGACTCTACAGTCTGGCTACATGATTTTCTCTCCTAGTTTTTGTCTACTTTCCCCTCACGCAGTGTTTTCTAACTTGCAAAAATTTCAGGACAAATTTCTTAGATCTTATCTTTGGTGTTGAAAGACTTATCAATTATATACCAATAACAGATTCGTTATTTTCAACCGGGTGTTGTTTCAGGTATCAGCTCAACAAAAAAAAGAATAAGGTTGATGATTACCACATCAGGAAGCCAAATACATTCCCAGATCAACATCTTCGAGCCTGCCTCTCAAATGGTTCCAATAACGAGGATTTCAAAGATGATTCATGTGAGAGACGTTTGTCGAAGTCACTTGTTGGTGGAAGCATGAATATCTGCAAAATTAGAATTTTGAATTTTGAGAAGGAAGAGCATATTGTTCAAGGTGCAGTATATCCTATCAATCAGATACATGCCCTTTGTTTTAATATGTTTATTCAAAATCTGGGCCAGATATTTCGGTTTGGTTATATATCTAGTAGAATCCCTGTCTTGCCTATGATTCTAAAGTCTACTTTTGACTCGGCAGGAAATGTTGTTTATCTTCCCAAGCAACGAACTAGGTTGATCGTGTCAGAGAGACCAAATGATGGTACTGTAGCAATGTACTATGGCGAAGTAGAAGATGGTGATTTTTTGTCTGCCGAGGAACATCTTCCTACATTGTCCAATACTGTAAGTGTTATTGTACAAGTTAAACTTTGCTGTCTGAGGTGATCATCTGTTTGATTGAACTGAGTGTTACCAGACATAGTTGAGGCAATTAACAAATTAAGTTGTCATCCTATCTTACTGACGATTCATTTTCTCAAAATATAAATTTACACAAATACTTGTCTTTTGTGGTTTCTGATTTTTTTTACTTTTTTTTTTAGCATTTTTGCTCTTTATTTGATATCATTTTCACATTCCTGTTTCAGACTTCTTTTTGAACCTTAAAATCTGCTATTGGCTTGTGGGATTTTCGTGCTTGTATATTCTTTGATTAATCTTTCTTACCATTTTCTGCCATTGGTTGCACAAAATTTGTCACCATATATGTCCTAAAATATTCTGCATTGTGGAGCTTGGTGCGGCATTCACAGTAATTTGTTATCATATAGCTGATCGGATCCTATTAAACAACTTTTAGCAACTTTGGTTATGTAAAAGAGCTGGACTGGAATCTCTGTTGGGATAACCTTCACTATTTACCATTCCTTGTGTTTTCTGTTGTACTGACTTATATATCTAAACTCATTCCTGTAACAGCACATGGCGGATTTGCTTGCAGCACAGTTCTGTTCGCTGGTATGTTTTTAATGGTCTTGAAGTTAACAAAGAGTTTAAATTACACTTTTAGTTTGTGATTTATGTTATCTTCTTATTCAGATGGTGAAGGATGGTTATGTTGTGGATGATCACATCCAATTAAAGCCAACCCGCATGACTGTTGCCCCAAGCAATCAATCAAATGCTGCTGGGCTGCCCCGTAACAACTCAGCAGCTGATATGCAACAATATGCAGATTCAGTTTCAGGCCAGCCGCCCAATGAGGTTGCAAAGTCAGTTAATGGCGGTAATTCATCCTTAACTTCATCCCACAATCTTCTACCAAGCACAAGGATGTTGCCTCCTGGAAACCCTCAGGCTTTACAGATGTCTCAAGGGCTCATGGCCGGGAATTCAATGCCTCAACGCCAACAACAGCTTGAGTCACAACCATCACTCCAGCAGCAGCAGCAGCAACACCAACAGCAGCAGCAGCAGCAACAACAACTACAGCAGCAGCAACAACAGCAGCCACAGCATCAGCAAAGCCAACACTCATTGATCCAACAGCAGAATCCCCAGCTCCAGAGATCAATGATGCTAGCAGCAAATTCGCTTTCACAGTTTGGACAGAATTCCAACATGCAATTACCCATGGGGAGTAATAAGCTTACCCCCTTGCAGCAATATCAGCTTTTACAGCAACGGCATCAGCAGCAGCAACAGCATCAGCAGCAGCAACAGAGTCCGCAAATGCAGGGAAAAATGATTGTGGGGCTTGGAACAGCTATGGGCAATAACATGGTTGGGCTTTCCGGAGTTGGAAACACCATGGGCATGGGAGCTGCAAGGGGAATGGGATCTGCGCCCATGACGCCTATTTCTGGAATGGGTAATGTGGGTCAGAATCCAATGAATTTAAGCCAGGGTTCAAATATTAGCAATTTAACCCAGCAATATCAAGCCGGAAGATTAAATCAAGCTGCTTTCATAGCATCAAAATTAAGGATGCAAAATAACCGAGGCGGCATGTTAGGCAGTCCTCAGTCAGGCATAGCTGGCATGTCAGGAGGCAGACAGATGCATCCGGGATCTGCTGGTTTCTCAATGTTAGGTCAGACTATGAACCGAGGTAATATGAGTCCGATGCAACACACGCCAGGAGTGGGGCCCATGGGTCCACCGAAGCTGATGGCGGGGATGGCAGGGACGAATATGTACATGAATCCGCAGCAGCAGCAGCAACAGTTTCAGCAACAACAAATGCAGCAGCAGCAGTTGCAGCAACAGCAACAGCAACAGCAATTACAACAGCAGCAGCAGCAGCAGCAGCAGCAGCAGCAATTGCAACAGCAGCAGCAAGAAACGACTTCACCACTACAGGCTGTTGTTTCGCCGCAGCAGGTGGGCTCTCCCTCAGGAATTTCACAACTGGCCCACCAGAGCCAGCAGCAACAGCATCAGCTGCATCAGCAGGCTAGCCCACAGCAAATGAGCCAAAGAACTCCGATGAGTCCACAGCTGAGCTCAGGGGCAATGCATGCCATGAGTGCTGGTAATCCAGAGGCTTGTCCCGCAAGCCCACAGCTAAGCTCTCAAACGCACGGCTCAGTCGGTAGTATGGCAAATTCTCCTATGGACCTTCAAGGTGTAAACAAGAGTAACTCTGTTGGTAATCCGTAGCAACAATATCAGATCTTCGGGGGTGTTCTCGGGAGGAAATAGTTCAGCCGCTCTTGTCAGAAGCCTCCCCCTCAAATCCCACAGTTAAGTTGACATTTAGACGTATTAGTCCTTAATAACACGGTAAACTTTACATGCACTGTTCAAATAATTTTTGGCAGAAGAACTATGAGCTTGGTACATGATATCACCTTTTTTCCGGGGCATAAAGGTGAATATACATTTACCGGAGTGCAATGGTTTGTGCTAGAGGGGGCTCCTAAGAAATAAGATCCATCTCTCTGCTGCTCTACAAGTGTATAAATTCTTGGGGATTGGTTAGTGTTTATAAGTGAAGATTGAGTGTGAAAGTATTTGCAATTTTCTGACTTTTTTTTTTGTGTGACCAAATTATTTTCTTTTTGTACCTAGTGTCCTTTCCATGGGAGAATCCCACTTAAGATTAACGCATTTTACCGTACAAACAATGTGATCAAAATCATTCAATGTGTTTATTATCATATAAACATCATTTTTGCAAAAAATTATTCAAAGTTCAAATCACCCGTCTCGTCAAAAAAAAAAAAAAAAAAAAAGAAAACAACAATTTGAGTTGCATTAGCTAGTTTACAATTTGCAATTTCTCCCATGGAGTTGAGTTTATGATTTTTTTTTCTTTGGTCAAAGAGTTTATGATCACTTAGTGTTCTCACATGGCTCCTGGTAATATCTTTGACGCTAGGACAGCAAGAAAGGGCCATTGTCAGCTCAAACCCATCCTCGAGCATTTCGATCACCCACCTCACTCCCCGTTCTCCGCCTGCTGCAAGGCCGTAGATAACCAGCCTTCCATCCTGCGTCGACATTTGCAATTTCTCATGTACGTATCAATAAGGCCAGGAACAACAGAAGTAGAACTAGTTTTAAGGGTTAAACAGTGGTGGATGGTTATGATTCTTACGAGAACAGTTTGTGCACCGAGGGTTAACGCCTTGAACACGCCTTCCATAGCCTTCTCCATCGAAAAGAACAGGAAATTTTCCTCCAACAGCATGAACCACCTGAACACCTTATCATACAACTTTCCAATTGAATTCGTAACAGGAAAAAAGAAATGATGAAGCAGCAGTTGATAGAGTTGCACTCATCCAGGACAGAAATAGTGGGAGGAGTACAATCGAGTTGGCGGCCTCCACGGTTCGAGACAACAATCACAGCAACTCCTACTTCCACGGCCTTTCTTGCTGAAATATGGTAAAACAACAGCCGTGATCAGAAGGGCTAATCTGGACACGTCACACACGTCGACTTAAAGGATCAGTTGATCTTACCATCTTCCATGAGTAAGACCCCTTGATTAAAATTGGCATGTTCGTAATATATTTCAGCCGTCCTATGTCCCGCGTACTCAATCAATCGATGCAATAACTAAGCGTTCAAGACGAAAAGAAATAGCGAGCGTAAGAAGACATGCACAGAAAAGGAGTATAAAACTGTAGAATTGTAAGTAATGAGCTGATTAGTAAATAAGAAGCCTTGAATGATTAATTGTGTATGCACTTAGTCTTTTCGAATGACTAGTGTGAGGCTACAATATGTAAGGCTAAAATAGCCATGTGTAGTGATCCTATAAATTAGCTAGATGTGTGGTTGAGATCAAATGTGATGTGTGTGGATCCAGCTAAGGCTAACCGTCATGAAATGCACGTGTGTGTGCTAAAATTTTCCATTAAGAGAAATATATTCCTCTCTGCAATTTCTGTAAGAGAGAAGAAGAACATTCATTCCTTTTGCATCCTTCAATCCTCTCTCTCTCTATCTCCATATCGCATAACTCAGATAAATCAAGAACACTAACAAAAACTTATGCATTTCAATGACCAAACAAGTGTCATATATATATGAACTTTCACTTGGATCGTACACAGATATAAATGTCGCCTATTGTTCTCTTTATTTTGTGCACTTCATGTATACATCTGCTCATCGTTATGGATATATCACAATATACAGATTTACGCTACGCAAAGTTTCATCAGCGCAAGAAGTTACTTCCAAATTCTTCAATCGAGCTTCAACCCTTCTGCGACAGTTGTGACCGCATTTGCTAAACGAGATGCATAAGATATTATTCAATGAACAACATAAGTGTCAGCAAAACAACATATTTGTAATAAAGTAGGATGACACGACCGATTCTTTATGTCTGCCTACCATCGACCGAATGTGGGAGCATCGACGGTTAGGAAAGGCTTGGTATCCAGCTTTTTTCAGCTCTGCGAGCTATCTCAGCTGATATTCCCTCGTAAACCTGTTCAGAAAACCGTTCTGTTTGATAGCTTGATGAGCTCTGATAGGCTGGAAGGGATAGTAACTAATAAAATAGAAATCAGAGCTACCGAAAATTGAAACGAGCTCAAGTGAGAACAAGTACATATAATTGAAAGAACCGAACAGCGTTGCAGCTGGAAGCAACCTCCTCCACGGTACAGGAAAACCTACTGGACAAAATCTACAACGGAAAAGCTACAATTCAAATAGTAAACAACGCGTATTAGCTAATGCATGTCGTAAGTTACTCAAACATATATCATTATGGTGCTACATGAAGCTGCTGTTCTAGCAGTAGCAACCTCTCCTGTATTCGATATAAAAGAGCTGGTAGAAATTAGTGTCCTAACCCAATCTCAACAGAGAACTCTTGAAAGGCGGTATATAGATTTTAGATCTTCGGGGTGAGCTGGCTGCTGCCTTGCAGTATGAGCAATCATTATCGGCGCTGAGATTTTGTACCCCAACACAGTATTTGACATGTCTATTCAGCTAACTTCGACAAAAAATCTAGGCCGCGACCTGGAACAAAACACACGAATCAGTCAGTCGCGTAATATTATACTTCACTACTTTACAGTAAACATCAGCAGGCAGTGTACATGATTCTGCAAAATGCTTCAACGTTCTCCTGTAGCATTGGTCGTCCTCAGCTCCCCCTGTATAGTAATCGCAGTGCAGTTTCGGAAGGACTTGCCTAGCCAGTTGTTGAAATTCATTCACATTGACAGGTTCTGATGAAGCCATTTATCCTTGAAAACATAAAAATTCATTAGTCAACCGATCGTCGTCAGTTTTCAGGTTTCAAGCAATCTAGCTGCCTGAAACACCAGAAAATTAAATCAATGGGGTTGGTTAACACATTCATCCCACTACTCAAAATTCTTTTTTATTTTTGTAATCTGAAAAGTATTACTGCAGAGCAAAAGGCTTCAATATGGCAAGCGAATACACCACTAAAAACTACAAAAATTAAGAAAGCATGATGAACTGATGAAATTTATTTGAGAGTTGGAAACTTATTTGCTGAATTACTGATTAGAGAAAAAAGAAAAAAAACTTTCTTTGTGGGAATGGGGCCTGAGAAAGTGGAAGAGCATAGAATGATGAAATGCGTGTTTGGCCAATTTTTTTTCAAAAGTGAACTTTTCTTTTCGCTAGTGGCCACTCTTGATATTTTAAGGATAGAGACTTAAAAATGAAGGAAATAAGAAGAAATATCACTGTAAAACAAAATTAAGCTAAAGAGTGAAAAAATACATATGGTTGAAAGAACCGAACAGCATCGCAGCTGGAGGCAACCTCCTCCACAGTGCAGCTAGATATACTGGACAAAATCTACAACGAAAACACTACAATTTATACACCAAACAACGCATATTCGCTCAATGCATGTCGTAACTCATAGAATACCATTATGGTGTTACATGCAGCTGCTGCTCTAGCAGTGGCAACCTCTCCTGTATTCGATATAAAAGAGCTGGTAGCAGTTAGTATCCTAAACCAATCTCAACGGAGAACTCTTTGGAAGGCGGTTTAGATTTTAGACCTTCGGGGTGAGCTAACTGATGCATAGAAGTAGGAGCAAGCATTATAGGCGCTGAAATTTTGTAACCCAGTATGGTAGTTGACATATCTATTCTGCTAACATCGATGAGAATTCTAGGCCGCAACCTGGAACAAAGACACAGGTATCACTCATGTAATTATACCATATTTTTGAGCATTTAGCAGTAGATTTAAACATTTACGTGATTCTGCGAAATGCTTCAACGTTCTCTTTTAGCGTGTGCTGGTCCTCAGCTCCCCCAGTGTAAAAGTCATAGTACATCTTCGGAAGGGCTTGCCTAGCCAATTCTTGGTACTCATTCACATTGACGGGTTCGGATGCCATTTATCCTGGAAACATAAACATTAACGACTCCTAGCTTTCGAGTTTTCGAGCAATCTATCCTAGATGACACCATATAGTCACTGAGTGAAAACTACTGAAAAAAAAAACACTATATTTGACTTGGAATCTCAAAGTTTGATGAAACATATTACGCTAAATATTCAGAAACTCCTGAATTTTATATTTTCCTGCCTCAAAAAATATATGCAGGACATCATGAAAGTTCAGAATTAGCACTAAAACAATTAAGAGAGCTGCTTGAAATCCACTAGACAAAGAAAGCATAATGATCCATCCACTCAAACCAACACAGACTAACCTGTGAGTTGAAATTTGCAAAACCCTGATTTGTTGCTGGTTAAATTTGTTGGAAAAAATTAGAGTACAGAACTCTAACACAAGTATTGGAGAGACAACACAAGTAAACAAATTACTTGTATTACACAAACAAAATATTACAACACTCTCAAAGGACACTCTTAGAAGCAATGACACTCACTTACTTTCTAGAGACAAACTCTAGAGCACTCACACTCTTACAAGACTACTTACAAGGCTTCCCACTCTCTTACTTAGCTCTTCTTAATTGATTGGTTGCTTGTTAATTTGTGGATTCAAATGGTGTGGATGCCTTCTCCTTTTATAGGCATGGATGGAACCTTGGAGAAGCATGGACACACCATGCTAGAGATATCTAGATAATTCCACTAACTTCCTAAGCTAGAATTATCTACACTAATCTTGCATGTTGGTGGAAACCTCACCATTCTTCTAGACTCTTCCACCAACTTAAGAAACAACATTCTAGTCATTTCTACAAAGTACTACTTTAACTTGGATAATCTAGCTAACCAACCTTAGTGAATGTTCTAGAATTCTTTATTCTAGATTTGGGTAGGTCCTTTAATGAGATGGGGTTGATTTCTTTAACACTCCCCCTCAACACCATCTCATTCTTCTTTCTACGTTGGGTTGACAACGCTTCATCTTGAACACCCATTTGTATGAGATGGGTTTCACATTTCTTGGCCTTGCCACTGGATCCCAAGTTTGATATTTCTTTAACACAGCATCCTTTTCGCCCAGATGTATGCCGCTCGGAATTCTGTGATGCTTCTTTACACATCTCAGCTTCAACTGCTTCTTCTACTATGGTTGCGGTGGTGTATTTGATATTTGGCTTCAGTATTCCTGTTGACCTCCTTAGTTGTGATCGTGGAGTTGATACTTCCACTTCACTAGATCTAACTTCTTCAGTTTTCCAATGACTCTTAGGTACTTCTTGCTTGACATCGTTACCATCAAGAAATTCCTCGAGCTCATCTGGACTCGATTGGATTTGGGCAGCTTGGTCTCCCATTTTCTCCTGCAACATATCGTTAATCTCTCTTGAGTCAGGCAACACTTCATTTTCTGAGCACCACCAAGAAGATGCTTCAACATCCCATTCTTCATCCATAGCTAGATATGCTATGACATTCCAATCATCTTCACTTTTCTTCTCTAAGTTGGCAACATTACTTTCTACAGGCTTTTTGAACTAGCAATCATTCGCCATATGGCCCTTCTTTCCACAATTGTAACACTTGCCCTCAAACCTTTTATTATTCTGGGACTAACCATGATTGCCCTGATGTTTTGGAGCTCCCCCTGGTCGAGAACTCCCTCCTCCTTGATGACCTTTTTCCTTGTCACCATTTCTTTTAGATCAACCACCAGCACGCTGCTTAAAGCTGCCTTTACTTTTGGTGTAGAGCGCTTCCTCCTCACCTTTTAATGAGACCCCTCCCATTTGCTTTGCCAAAGCTTCTTGATCGGCAAGCAAATTCTCGAACTCAACAAGTGATGGTTGGGTCGACCATGCTTGTACAGCGGCAACGAAGCCTCGATATTCGGGTCTCAATCCATGGATAATTATTCTTTTTATCCTGGATTCTACAATGGCAGTACTAGGATCTAGTTCATAAATTTCACGGCAAATAGACTTTACCTTGTGGAAATACTGTGCAATTGTCATGTCCCTTTGGGCCACTGATAACAACTCGTTCTCAAGAAGCTGCAGTCTTGTATCGTTCCTCTTTGAAAAGAGTGTGGTGAAGGTGTCCTATGCTTCTTTTGGTGTCTTGGCCTTCCGTATGTGCTCTAACATGTCATCTTCAACTGTAGTTTTTAAGGCAAACATGGCCTTACCTGCCTTGATCTTCCACTTCCTCAAAGTGCCGCTGGTGTCTTCTTCTGGCTGCGTAACTTCATTACCGCCGACGACATCCTAAAGATCTTGGCCTTGTAGGTAAGACTCTATACACGTCGCCCATGTGTTGTAATTTTTGTTGTTCAACTTCTTGATTGCTCCAACAACTTGAAGATCTCCCATCGTGTCGGCAGAGCTTCGATAAGCCGAACAAGATTAACGAATAATCTTGCAAAGAACTAAACTTCTCACGATTCTCAAAAGCTTTAATAGAGACAGTCCCTGATCGTACCGCTCTGATACTAATTGTTGGGGGGAAAAACTTAGAGTACACAACTCTAGCACAAGTGTTGGAGAGACAACATAAGTAAACAAATTACTTGTATTACACAAACAAAATATTACAACACTCTCAAAGGACACTCTTAGAAGCAATGACACTCACTTACTTTCTAGAGACAAACTCTAGAGCACTCACACTCTTACAAGACTACTTACAAGGCTTCCCACTCTCTTACTTAGCTCTTTTTAATTGATTGGTTACTTGTTGATTTGTTGATTCAAATGGTGTGGATGCCTTCTCCTTTTATAGGCATGGATGTAACCTTGGAGAAGCATGGACACACCATGCTAGAGATATCTAGATAATTCCATTAACTTCCTAAGCTAGAATTACCTACACTAATCTTGTATGTTGGTGGAAACCTCACCATTCTTCTAGACTCTTCCACCAACTTAAGAAACAACATTCTAGTCATTTCTACAAAGTACTACTTTAACTTGGATAATCTAGCTAACCAACCTTAGTGAATGTTCTAGAATTCTTTATTCTAGATTTGTGTAGGTCCTTTAATGAGATGGGGTTGATTTCTTTAACAAAATTCTTTGCTGAATTTTGGATGAGAGAAATGGAGAACCGTGCTTGATCGAGTAGTTCTGCTTTCGGGTTTCGAGCAATCTAGCTTTCTTAAACACCAGAAAATTCAATCAATTGGGTTGGTTAACACATTCATCCAACTGCTCAATTCTTTTTTATATTTGTTTGCACCTAAAATGTACCCATTTTTACTCATTTGGGCCATTTGGTATTTGGAGGATTGTTGTTGAAGAAGGCTAACTTGGAAGGATATTTGGTTGCAAGTGGGGTAGTTTGACATTATAATATTGTTTTTCCCTTTTGTTTGAGTGATGGAGGTTTGCCAAGAGCTTTGTTTAATTAAAACAAATGCTTGCTTTTGGATTGGAAGATAATATGCAGACGCGGAAGTGGACATATGGAGGAAACAAGTTGCTTTGCTTCTTTTAATTATTAGTTTATTGCAAGTGGTGGGGACATGTGTTGGAAACATGTGGTGGAAATGCAAGTTGGCCTTTTTAAATATTATTTCACATGCAAGCTGGCAAATGGAATGCATTCGGGCATGATTGGTGTTCTCAGCAAGGGGGGCTTCCTCATATCTCTATATAAAGAAGCAGAGGCACAAGGATTAGGGACATTCAATCAATCAAACAAACATACAAACTCTGATCTCAAGCTAGATTTGCATCCAAAAGTTGTTATCAGCCCATATCTCAGTTCTTTTAGCAATAGATTCCTTAAAAAAGCTGTCTTTTGTCTAGTTTATTAGCTCTGCTACTCATCTGGTAGTATCAATCTCCTTTGTAGTTTATGTATAACTCATTTCCAGTCATTTAGTTCACAAACAATCTATAATACCAGTCATTTACTTTCTCTGTCATTTACATTTCCAGCAACCTTGATTTGAGCCACTCCCACTCAATGGCACAATCTCTTGGTTAGAAGTCGAACTCAGGCGCAACCTCAATCATTCAAAACCCGTCTACTAGCGGCATCTAGTAGTGACACGCTCGCACCCGCCAATTTCATGTTTGAGTAAATTCCTGGCATGCCCGCGAGGCCCATGACGAATAACAATATTTAGTAATCTGAAAAGTAATACTTGAGAGCTAAAAGCGTCAATATGATAAGCTAAATTAGCTAATACACCATCAAAAACTAAAAAAAATTAAGAAGGCATGATGAACTGATGAAACTTATTTGAGAGTTGGAAACTTCTATGCAATTACTGATTAGAGAAAAAGGAAAAAACTTTCTTTGTGGGAATGGGGCTTGAGAAAGTGGAAGAGCATAGAATCATGGAATGCGTGTTTGGCCAATTTTTGTTCGAAAGTGAACTTTTCTTTTCGCCAGTGGCCACCCTTGATATTTTAAGGATAACAGTTTGCGCGTAAAGAGTAATTTCTTTTTACACGACTACGTAATATCATTTCATTGTACAAATATTATATACGGAATCAGACATTCTTTTTACCATCATGTAAAGATCATCTATAAAAGAATAAACAGTTCGAATTATAATGTTTGTATGTGAAATGATGTCACACCGTCATGTTAAAGAAGATTTGTTTTTTCCTTTTTTGCTACATCTAAAGAGAATGACTCTTGAAATGCAATTAAATGGTGAAAGCAACCTGGATGGTAAATTGACTGAAAATTCTCTATGCATTGACGTCATGGTTTAAATTGAAAAAAAATTATTTTTCAATTTTCTTCTAACTTGATCCCATTTATTGTTATGATTGATTATTTAGGTATAAAGTGCTCCTCAGAGCTTTGGTACGTTGCCACGGTTTGATAAAATCTAAAATCGAAGCGATTAACCAATATGAGACTAGAAACCAAACGATTAAGCTCTAAATGATGATTCTACTACCCTAAAGCAATCAATCATATAAACAAATGAGACCAAAGCTAAAGAAAATCGAATAGAAGTGGAATTTTTTTCAAACAAGTCTTGTCTTTAAGAAAGTTCAATTACAACAGCTAGTTTTAGAATCTGCAGTTTACTGATGGTCTCACTCCATCCACGTCTCTGCATAATATTATTTTAATCGATGCTTTTAAAATAGGAAAATGATTCCCGCACAACCTATTTCTCCTTCTGCACACCTTTGATTTATTCAATCCAGAGACGGGAAACACATGGGCGTTGAGAGAAAGAAAATAGGTGTGCGGAAATCACTTTCTGTAAATTAAATTAGAGCATTGAATGGAGTTTATCACTTTCTGTTCTCACATGGCTCCTGGTGATATCCCTAATACTAGGACAGCCAGAAAGGGCCATTGTGAGCTCAAACTCGTTCTTCAGCATTTCGATCACCCGCCTCACTCCCCGTTCTCCGTCTGCTGCGAGGCCGTGGACAACAGGCCTTCCCACCTTCAGTAGATGTGCATTGATCAATGAGAAAAGCCACTATAGTAGAAGCAATTTAAGGAATCATATCGGGAGATTGATAAGCAATGTGGTGGATATGATTCTTACAAGGACAGCTTGTGCACCAAGAGCTAACGCCTTGAACACGTCTGTTCCTCGGCGTACTCCTCCATCGAAAAGAATAGGAACTTTTCCTCCAACAGCATGAACCACCTGAATACATTATGGATAGAATATGGTGATTGAACATTCTTACGAAGTTTTCGAGTCAGCTTGTAACAGCAAAAAGCATTTGCACGTTTTCTTCTAATGTGGAAGTTACACCATTTTCGTGTCTTAACAAGTTACGCCAGAAAAAAAAATGATGAATTAGAGATAGAGTTGCACCTCTTCCAGGACAGAAATAGTGGAGGGAGTATAATCCAGTTGGCGGGCTCCATGGTTCGAGACAACAATCCCAGCAACACCTACTTCCACAGCCTTTCTTGCTGAAATATGGTAAAACAACAGGCATTCAGAAGGGGTAATTGGGGGTACGCCAACTTAAACAATTGAACCAATGTATCTCAAACATGGGGTTGGTTGAGTAACAAAAAGCATGCCCTGTTTTGGATTCGTGAAGAATTAGAGAACTTTTTCTAGATCTTTCGGTTTGAGTTTTATATATACAGAAGTAAGATATCAAAATATGGAGCCTTGATCATCAGTTACCATCTTCATGAGTGAGTACCCCCTTGATTAGAATTGGCAAGTTTGTAATAGATTTCAGCCATCTTATGTCCTGCACGCGTGAACAACGCAATAACTAAGCTTCAAGAAGAAAGAAACGACCTAGCACATCGGCACATAATAAGTTCTCTAATAGATTGTCTACAAGCATATGAAAACGCAATCAGACGAGTCTACTGATTTATACCTCCCAGCACAGAGAAGCATCATAGGCCACTTTGGCAAAAGCTTCCAAGTTCGACCCTTTATCCTGCAGAGAAAATGTCATGCGTGTGGAGAAAAATGAACCTTTCACTTGGATGATACAGCTGAGAAACATTGCACATTTGGACTAAAGTGTTCAGGATTTAACTATTCCACTCACAGAGTCTACTTTGGTTGATATAAGGCCTTCGAAATTCCTCAATGGAGGTGCTACCATTCTGCAGCAGTTGTCACAATCATGTTTCAATCGAGATACACAAGATATAATTCGATGTACCACATAAGATTTAACAGAACAACAATCGACATGATATTATACAGAAAAGTTCCCTTTCCAATCATACTTTAAAAGCAACAAATCGCAAAGCATGGAGAAATAAAACAATCAAAGAAAAAAATGGGGGTTGACAAACTTATTCTTTATGTCTGCCTCTCTTCGACCAGGTCTGGGAGCATCAACTGTTAGGACAATAGCCTTGTATCCGTTTTCTTCAGCTCTGCGAACTATCTGAGCTGATATATCTCGCCTCTTGAAAACCTGTTCCAACAAAGTGTACCGTTTGACAGCTTGAGATCTGATAGGCAGGATAGAGACTTAAAAATGAAGGAAATAAGAAGAAATATCACTGTAAAACAAAATTAAGCTAAAGAGTGAAAAAATACATATAGTTGAAAGAACCGAACAGCATCGCAGCTGGAAGCAACCTCCTCCACAGTGCAGCTAGATATACTGGACAAAATCTACAACGAAAACACTACAATTTATACACCAAACAACGCATATTCGCTCAATGCATGTCGTAACTCATAGAATACCATTATGGTGTTACATGCAGCTGCTGCTCTAGCAGGTGGCAACCTCTCCTGTATTCGATATAAAAGAGCTGGTAGTAATTAGTATCCAAAACCAATCTCAACGGAGAACTCTTTGGAAGGCGGTTTAGATTTTAGACCTTCGGGGTGAGCTAACTGATGCATAGAAGTAGGAGCAAGCATTATAGGCGCTGAAATTTTGTAACCCAATACGGTGGTTGACATATCTATTCTGCTAACATCGACGAGAATTCTAGGCCGCAACCTGGAACAAAGACACTGGTATCACTCATGTAATTATACCATATTTTTGAGCATTTAGCAGTAGAACTAAACATTTACGTGATTCTGCGAAATGCTTCAACGTTCTCTTTTAGCGTGTGCTGGTCCTCAGCTCCCCCAGCGTGAAAATCATAGTACATCTTCGGAAGGGCTCGCCTAGCCAATTCTTGGTACTCATTGACATTGACGGGTTCAGATGCCATTTATCCTGGAAACATAAACATTTACAACTCCTAGCTTTCGAGCAATCTACTATATAATCACTGACAAGTACAAAAAAGTATATTTCACTTGGAATCTCATTGTTTGATGAAACATATTGCGCTAAAACAATCTTAAAATGTCAAATATTCAGCAACTCCTGAATTTTAGATTTTCCTGCCTCAAAAATATATGCAAAACAGCATGAAACTTCAGAATTAGCACTAAAACAATTAAGAGAGCTGCTTGAAATCCATTAGACAAAGAAAGCATGATGATCCATCCACTCAAACCAACAGACTAACCTGTGAGTTGAAATTTGCAAAACCCTGATTTGTTGCTGGTTAAATTCTTTGCTGAATTTTGGATGAGAGAAATGGAGAACCGTGCTTGATCGACTAGATCTGTTTTTGGGACTGAGTGAATATTTGATCCTTTTGTTCCCTTCTAAGAAAATTATTAGATAATATTCTACATGTGGGGCCCGGACATGTTGGCTTGGAGCTTATTTTGGCACTACCTACTGTTTACTCTCTATTTTTCCAGTTTTTGAATAACTCAAAGCGCTTTCTACAATGTTTCAAACAAGAAATGGGACATGATTTTGCAATAGAACTGTGATATTTAATTTTTTGTGCTTCTAACAAAAGCACTTCCACCAAAAACCCTTGCGAGCAGAAGTGATTCCTACTTGACAGACCGTTAACCGTCTTGAGCAATAGGGTTTGAGTTGTTACTAGGTGCAGCAGCTCCAGCAAGCAGACGTTGAGTGGGAACTGTGATCAGATGCAGTTGCAGTAGGCAAAAGAATCCCTTGAGATATTTTGATGCTTATGAAAAAAATCAAAGCATATGGTATTTGATACTTGTATCTATAAAGATGGTGCACAACTAAAAGCTTCAACAGGAGACTTCACGGTTAGTATAACAAGGAACAACGAAAAGAGCTGTTTCAATTGCAGAAAAATAGTGGGAACCACATATCTCGGAAGCTACTGAGCTTCGCCAAAACGTTGTTCACCAGTCACAGAGAAACAAAATAATATCAACAAAATTGAACTAGTCGAGCTAGATTTCTCATGTTCATTCAATCACCATGTTCCTCCAGAACTGCTATTGCTTCCTCTAAAACCACCTTTGCACGTGAGGCACCTGTCTTCCATCATCCTTCCTCTGTAATTCTCTCTCATTTCATTGGAAAATTTGCCGCTGTCTCCATGATAACTCAAAATTCCTTTGCTGCAGAGGCCACCTCTCTTCCCTCACTATTTTCATGAGAAAACTTGCATCTCTCTCCGTAGTAACTTTGCTGCTGAGACCACCTTTCTTCCCTTACTTCATTTTCATGAGAAAACTTGCATCTCTCTCCATAGTAACATCTACCCTGAGCATAATGTCGGCACATCTGCTTTTGCCCTTGTCGACATGTGGGAAGGATGTGGTTTACACTTGCCAACGGCTGTCTTTGATGACCCTGGAATGATATTCCTTGGACAGTATAAGCATTAGATTTGTTGTCATAGATGTTAACCAGAGCCTCTCCAGTTCTATTATACACTCTTTGTATGTTGCTTGGATTTGTACTCGCATCCAAGTTCTGAGAAGCTTGATTGAAATACCTATCTTGCATTGTAGTGTTCCTTCTCAGTTGAGGCTGATATGTCACTTTTCTGGAATCAACAAAAAAGCCCGAGCTTATAGCTGGAGGTCCTGTGGCTGGTTTTTGCGAATAGGCAGTAAATTCTGATTGGTGAGGTTGAGTTGCTGGTTTTGCTGAATGAGAAAACAATCCCAACTGCTGAGCTCCTGCTTTCATGTTTCCTGAACCAACTGATATACCAACTGGTTGATGTAGGTTTGCTGAGTTAACAAGTGAAACAGATTGTTGAGGTTGAAGAGATGATTTCAGCACCGAGGTTGAGTTCAACTGAGGCTTGTTCTTTTTCGGTCCTCCCTTTCTTGAAACCCTGAAGTGCAGAAACGACAGCACAGATGAGTGAAGTGAGACAAATTAGTAAATACAGACATAAAAACTAGTTTCAAGTGCAATCAGTTCTAATACCGATTTGTCTTGAGCACTTTCCTTATTTCCTTCTCTTGGACCCGTGCTTCCCTGTCAGACCTAGCAAGAGATCCCCTAGAGTGCTTTTCCATCAAGACTTTCTGCCTCTCCCCTTCATCTTCCCATTTCTACAGTTGACAGCAAGAGTTGATTATCTTAAAAACGGCTACCAATGACAACGATGACAAGGGAACAGAAGTTACTTAGAGCAGACCTGTCTCAAAGTTTTCAACCGGTACAGGTTCCGGCCCTTAATTAGGAGGGGATGGAGTGGAGGAAGTGGTGTCTCCCCTTTGCTCCAGAGTACTTCAATCTGCTCAGCATTTACAAAAACAGCACTTTTAGCATATGAAAATAAGAACTTGCTTATTGAGTTCTAGGTGTCTAGCAACGAATCTTGAGTCAGCTAAAAATCTGGTGCTTATTACTTTCCATCCACTCTAATTTCATGCAAGCTCTATTTCAATCTAAAAATACATATTCATCTCGTTAACAAAATCATAAATACTTTGACTCACTGTAAAGGTGTGCTGCTGTTTAGCAGCTCCATAGCTTTCTTTCACAATCCTACCTGCAACAATCCTTGTTCCACATGGAGGGCCTCTTCCACTCCGCGATGCTATGTCAAACCTGCAAAATAAGAAAAGATTAAGAATAGAATACCAATGCACACGGTAACAATTTGTGCGGCTAGTGGAATAGAGAGTAGCAGCACAAATAATGAACATTCACTTCATCCTAATTCCCTGTCTTAATGAGAAAGAGAATAGTTCAGGCCGCTTCAAATCAACTAGAAAATACTTTGATCATATTCCAACAGTTCCCATGTTTAAACAAAGAGCAAATGCTGTTCCAGTTTATCTCCAATTGTAAAAGGAAACAAAAGAACACAAATACAAACAACGGCTTACATTTCATAAACATTTTGTTCAAACATGACGACATCGCCAGTGCATGCATCCCCTGGACAAGGTCACATTACTCTTCAGTTGTTAAACATAGAGGAGCGAAAAATGTTCAGTACACCACTCTCAGTGAAAGCAAATTCAACATACACAACGAATGATATCATTGAAAAGATGACCTTAGGATTTTCGGGCAGCAGGGAACAATCCTTGTTTTGGCACATGGCATTTGGACCGAAGATAATAATGCTGGTAATAACAATTTGCCATGAACTTATCAATTATATACCTTTACAATTCAAAACAAAGGTAGATGCCGGGTACTTCTTCTCACCTCCACCATTCAAAATCCTGCAAAAACACAAACAAACTTCAGAAATGGGGAGAAAAAAAAACTCAGATCTCCAAAAGCTACCAAAGTGGCTGAAATTACTCTAAATGCTCCTTAATGCGCCGAATAAGCGTGTCTTTATTTCCGGTGAGTCTCAACCCGTTCTTCCTAAGGTACAGCTTACATTGCTCCACTTTTAGTTTCTCAATCTGTCTAGCTGCCACCAAACAATCACACAGAAACCAAACTTATCAAAACTGACAACGACCACATTTTGCATTTTCACAATCGATTGGCCCAAATTGACATCTTATTGATCTCAATTAGCCCACAATTCACAGAACCACATTGGCACTTAAATTTCTGGGCTAACCTTCAATAATCTTCTGAACATTTTCAAAGCTTTGTCTATCCTTCTCGTCCAGCTCAGGCACAACCACCTCCTGTCCATCAACTTCTGCTTCACTACCGACATCATTATCCTTAACAATTCTGCAAATCGAACAATACCAATTTCAATTCCAACCCTGAATCACACATTAATCATAGATTAATTCCAAATTTAAAGACAAACAAAAGAACCCATTAACATAGATTTCTTTCAGGGCAAACCAGACACTAACCGAGCCCTTGATTTACCCTTGATCGAGAGATTTGAGAACTTGGCGTGGGTTTCTTCGAGAGTGCTGTAAGTCGGGTCCTTCATTGACTCATCCGAATCGTATTCTGGGTCGGACTCGGACTCTCCGATTTCCCACAAGTCTTCATCTTTTTCTTCGTATCGACGATTTTTGGATTCCTCAGGGGCAGCCATTGATTAGTTATCTTGGTTTATTGCTGAAACACCAGAAAGGGTTCGTTTGAGCTAAAGGTTTGGGCGGAAAGGTGGGAAATTGAGGACTATGAAAAGGGGAATTCTCAATTCTGAGACCACGCTGCACACACCTCAAAGAGGGATGTTTTATACGACCGTTGGAATCATGTAACGGTAGAGAAAACCAATTTAAATTTTGAAAATTTACAAACTCACAGTCCTTTTCTTTTGCTAGATATTGGGGAAGGAGCCCAAGCCCAGGATAAAATTTTTCGATCAGGCACCAAATTATGTGACATGTTTGATCAACCTTACAGATATGTTTCGAAAGCCAAACTCAAATTAATTGTAAAAGTCGTCCGGTCATATTCCTCGTTGCATTAATCACGCTATAAATGTGACACGTCCGATTCTCAAGTTGGGCTATTCTCGGTTTGTTTGCCGTTACTAGAGGAATCCTTATAAGTTTCTTTTCCTTTGCTTATTGATATGCTTAAATTCAGGTAACCCCGCCTGGCCTAGGATCTCGTTAAAAGCTCCGCCGAAGCAGAGCAATGACCTCAATCGTCGTGGTGTTCGTCCCTGCCTACGGATCAATTGACATTTTTCACAAATTTTACGAAACGGAGGCCCTTTTTCTCATATTCGTCATTCCTTGTCTTAATTCCGAAACCGGCAAGCTGAATCCCTAAATAAGAATCTCTCCAAGCTCTAGCTAGGTTTTGTATAGGGCAACCTTCATTCCCATGGGATTTTTGCTTATGTATGTGTTTGATATTGTTCTTGTACTCCAAACAAGGTCATTTTGATGTTAAAGCCTAGCTAGGTGGCCTTCGTTTTCCTAATTATTCTCTGTTATATTTACGAGCGCGTCTAAAGATAGCCACCAGCTTACACATGGACGGCTATCTTTGACAAAAGCGGGATGCTTTATGGTTTAGCACCTTAAAGCATCTTCAAAGGAGATGTCAAATTTTAAACTGTGGTAATTTGACATTTTATACAATATTTTGCTCCACCCTAATGTTAAATAATAATGTCATTTAATAAATTTTTTATCTTTTTGTGGAGTCCAATGATTAAGGCAACCAATCAAATATTTCAAAAACATAACAACATTTATTATATATTATATTAATCTATTAAAATATCATTTAATAAATTTGACATCTGCTGTCAAATTTGACAGCAAAAGACTTTGCCTTCAAATGACTCAGCGCCACCTAAGAAATTGAAGGCTCAGTTGGAGAGAATTTGCTACCATTTTTATACTGGTGTATGCCTATGTGGCAATGTTGACATCTCATTTGAAGATGCCTTTAGGCTTTTCTTCTTATATATTGTGGGAAGTTAAGCACTTCATCTGACTTGATCCCCAAGCCTCCTATGTTACAGGGGATGAAAAGCCAGCAACTTGTTAGGAGTACGTTTAGCTTTGATATTTTTATTTTTTGGTGTTGATATTGTACTTGTGCTTATGACGACAAATATGACGTCTTTGTTTTTCGACACACATTGTTTCCAACCAAATATTATCTTTGATAAAACATGGGCACGTCACGAGTAGTGCTAGCTCATATGACACCACAATTTTGTCAACACTACAAGTTTACGAAATATTGACAGAATGCCGGTTTATAAATTCTAGGAAATGCTGTGCCCGCAGGAATATTCAGAATGCCATGGAATATCTTTTGAGCATCCTTCTTAAGCCGATAAATAAATACTTGGGTCCGTTGCTTCACTGCATGAAATTAGGAAACCGCCAGCTTGCTGCTTTTGGCTGGCTTAATTTTGCAGTTGCGGATGCTGATGTAGCAGTACACTGCTTTTTTGTTAAGCAGAAGCCAAACCAACTTGTAAAGTCTTCCCATTCAATTTTAGTTTCTATAGCATGGGGATAGAGGTGGAGATGTTTGAAATTCTTTGTCGAGTGTTATCCCCCGGAATTTCTTTCGTGTGGGAAAGAAACTTAGCTGCAACTGAGATGTTACTGTGGCGGTAGTATCCTGAGCCATTCGTGTACCGTTTTACGCAAGTGTTATCACTAGTCTCCTTGTTTGGGGCACTGCATGCCTGCCTTTTCTTCGTGAGAGCACCAAAGTTGCTAATTTTTAGGAAGAGAGAATTTGTGTGAGGAGTGAAGTTAAAACATTTTGGCTAGACAATTCAAACATCTAACTTCCCTTATTTAAATGGTCTTCTCAGTTCCAGGAAAATAATATAGGGTTTATAGAGGGTTTTTGGTTCTTTATACATGCTTGATTTGGCTTCTCAATTTTATTTTTCTTATATATTGCAACCCTTTTTTAGATATTCCATCCGGGGAACTTCTTGGTTTTGGCTGTGTGAATTTTCTCATTGTCTTCAATGGCTTCGTCTTCTGCGCGTATACTTTCTTCTTGCATATCTTCTGCACATGAGAAAGACCACCCTATGAGGTCCTCTATGTTTCAGTCTCCTAAGAGAAAGTTTCAGGGGGCGAGGAGAAAGAAACTCATTTTGAAACGCAGCTACTGGCGTCGGTGTTGCTTCTGCTAGCAATTTGAGCTCTTGCCTAGATTTTGAGCCGTGTGACAACTATTACAATTTCGAAGTAATGTATGACTCTTTGGCTTTCTTTGGGTCAAAAACCGCGTCGAGGACTGGAAGGCAAATGCGCATGAATGGGGTTGTTCACTCTGGTAAACAATTTATGCATTCGTTTCTGAAAGTGACTATTTTGTTTGATTGTCATGGATTTCGTTGTAGTTAACGTAATCCTTGTTGCTTTCTAAGTACTTTATAGATCTGATAACTCTTAATGGTTTTGATCTGCCATTTTGAACATGTTGTTAGGCAAAACAATCGCTATGCCTGTGCAAAATGCAGAGGAAGTCACAACAAATAAAAAACTTCTAACGAAACAAAGGCGGGTTGTTGTTACGGGATTGGGTGTGGTAACCCCTCTCGGACATGATCCAGATGTCTTCTACAACAGTCTTCTTGAAGGTATCAGTGGCATAAGTAAGATAGAGACTTTTGACTGCGCGCAATTTCCGACAGTAGGTTTTCTTTGCCTCAGTTTCATTCTGTTGCATTGCATCTACATTTGTTGACTCTAGTTTTCCTTTTACAACAGAGAATTGCTGGAGAAATAAAGAGTTTCTTAACAGACGGATGGGTCTCACCGAAAATCGCTAAGAGGGCAGACAAATTTATGATTTACTTGATCACTGCCGGGAAAAAGGCATTGGCAGATAGCGGGGTCACAGAAGAAGTTAACAGAAATTTAGATAAAAGTAGATGTGGAGTCATAATTGGCTCTGCACTCGGAGGCATGAAAGTAAGTTAAGCTTTGTATACAAATTCAGTTTATATACAAATTAGCTACAAATTCAGACAGCTAGAAAATTTCATTTTTGACTATCGCTCGAGTCTTGAGGCACGATGTGGAATACAGCACGAAATTTATTTTCGTGTGCAGTATCTAGTTACTTCAAAAGTTTCAAGAACTAGGTTATGTATCTTCTACTTTTTACCTACTTATGATAAACTCGGTCAGGTTTTTAATGACGGAATAGAAGCATTGAGGATTTCGTACAAGAAGATGAATCCATTCTGTATACCTTTCTCGACAACTAACATGGGTTCTGCCATTCTAGCAATGGATTTGGTAAGTTTAGAGGAAGTGCTAGAATCTTCGGATAGGTTTTTGAAACCTTGTAGCCATATCTAAGTTGTCGAATTGCAGGGTTGGATGGGCCCTAACTACTCAATATCTACAGCTTGTGCAACAAGTAACTTTTGTATGCTGAATGCTGCGTATCATATTTCGCGAGGTGAAACCGTAAGTTTTCACCAGCTTTTAGACAGACATAATATACAATGTGCACTTTGGATCATTTAACCAAATGCTCTTACCAAAACTTGCTGAAATTTGCAGGACCTGATGCTTTGTGGTGGATCCGAAGCAGCTATTATCCCCATAGGTGTACTACTTGTCATTCTCCATATCGTAATTCAGTTTACAATCCCTGCAGCGTGTGAACTTACTCGAGTTTCATGGATCATTAAAGTGCAGGCTTGGGAGGGTTTTCGGCGTGCAAGGCGCTGTCTCAAAGGAATAGTGAACCGACCAAAGCTTCATGCCCTTGGGATATTGTAATGCATCTTCTCTCAGCCTCAAACTAGGATTTTCGTATCCCTCATCCCTAACTTGAAATTTTATTTGCTATTTGAAAAGAATCGCGACGGATTTGTCATTGGAGAAGGAGCTGGAGTTTTGCTCTTGGAAGAGCTAGAACACGCTAAGGTTTGCTGCAAATCAATCTCTGTATTTTTCCATGGATCATTGAAGTTTCGTGCATCCACATATTTCCGGCTCAACCCCTCTTCTTCCCCTCTCATTACAGAGAAGAGGTGCGAAAATCTATGCCGAGTTTCTAGGTGGAAGCTTCACCTGTGACGCGTACCACATGACTGAGCCTCATCCTGACGGTATGTATAAAACTCTTTTAACCACCAGAATTTCTCCATGCAGGACGTGAGAACAGACGTGCATCAGTATCGCATTGATATGTCGAAAATGACTTGATGGTTTGCTCATCACCCTCCATCTTTACGTCTAAAACCAGGGACAGGAGTTGCTCTTTGCATAGAGAAAGCATTGGCTCAATCTGGGGTCAACAGAGAAGATGTGAATTACATAAACGCGTATGCTACGTCAACACCAACGGGTGATCTGAAAGAATATCGAGCTCTAATCCGATGTTTTGGAAATAATCCAGAGGTGAAAACGAAACATCTTTCTAGTCATTGAAGTTATCAGGTGACTCTGGTGCTGAAAAACTATTTCTGGTTATTGCAGCTAAGAGTGAACTCCACAAAATCCATGATCGGTCACCTCCTGGGAGCCTCAGGTGCTGTGGAAGCTGTTGCAACAATCAAGGTCAGTCAGCCTCATGTTTTAATTTCGTCATTCGTCAGTCTCTACTTTGTTGGACGAGGTTATGAGATCAGTTATCATGGACGACAATTGTTAAAAGAACAACTTGTTTCTTTTGGCTTGCAAAGAAGACTTAAAGAGTAGATTCATTGTAATCAAATCTTGAAAATGTAGGCTATACAGACGGGATGCATCCATCCGAACATCAATCTTGAAAATCCAGACAAAAGCGTGGTATGCATCTCTAGTCGTTTATAATCAAATTTTACGGTTTTGCAGAATATTTTCAATGTATTTTGTTTCTAATTTACATATCGGAAATGAGCAGGACATGAATGTGCTTGTCGGCCCAAAGAAGGAGAAGTTGGACATAAAAGTTGCACTCTCCAACTCATTTGGTTTTGGTGGACACAACTCTTCTATCTTATTTGCACCCTACAAGTCATGAATACTACAGAAATTTGTATAGATGTCAAATTTGGAGATTTGAAAACTCCATTATCATTTGACAAGATATTGGCCAAAATCCATTAATGTGAGGGCAAATTTGTTTTCTGATTGTTCTGCCATTTTTATCAAAAATAAGATCCTTTCAATCTATTTACTTTTAGTGAAATTTTGTTGATAGCGAACAACGTTGTATTCTTTGTTAATCCAAGCGAAACTGGAGGAGAGAGATTAAACTTGGGACCTTGTGTGCACCGGTGAATGCTTTAACCGAGCTACAAAACCCCCAGCCCTTGCAGAGCACTAGAGTTACATTGGTTCTGTATTGCTTTATATGACACGACCCGGCTCGTCACTAAAGCACTTGCAAAGTTTTGTGCAAGCTCAATTAGGCATGGCTCAACGGGTTAAAACTGGCAACCAAAATCGCTATCGAGAGAGCGTTTGCAGAAATTGTGCACAACAGAACGTATTGATTTCGTCGATCTTGTAGATGCAAGACTAAGATCAATTGTGTATGGTGCATTATTGTGCAAGAATCATAAACAAGATAACGCAATCGACAGAATGCGCCGCACAAAGGCGCTCCTGTTGATAGGTACTGACCAAACGCCACAAATAATATTAGACAGTGAGTGAATTTTGACAATGTATATATAAAACAGCAAAATCTACTCCCTTGTACTTAGTAGTATGATAACTGATAAGATCTGACTCCTCAATCTGTTGTTTTGAGGGGTCTCTCTTCCGTAAGGGTGGATATGTTCCCATCAGCAGAGGTTCTTACAGAATTAATTTTCTCAATCAAACTCGGCGTGACCAACAAAAGTAACCCCGAAACATCTTTTAAATCTTTCACGAGGATAAGGCAGCCAATCTGAAGTTCCCAAGTCCCGTATGGAACGGAAACAGTCCAGCGCAACAAACAGAAGCCCGTCAAAATTGCCGCAAATTCAGAACATAGATGAAGCAGTTTGATCACCAGAGCTTTGTTTTGACCCAGAAAAGGAGGAAAACAACTCCAAGCACAATGGCAATAGGCGCGTACTTTCGGATCAGAGCCTACAATTAACAGACGTGTGAAATGATAAGTTTCTGCTACATTACTTTGGCAATAGAAGTTACATATGACATAAATTCTTTGACATAAACAGCTCAATCTAGAGAACTTGTGGCAGATTGGAGAAGGCAATATTCCTAATTCAAACAAATGTGGCTAGAAAGACCTACTTCGTAAAAGAAATACTCAATTATTATGGATTAGCAATAGCACCAGCATACAGCACCATCAGCAAACAGCTACCTGAGTTTAATAAGCCCAGTGGCATGCATAACTAACAGCTTTTGAACAAGTATTCAAGTAAACAAAACAAAGATGTCATGTAAATGCCTCAGCCACAACTGCATTCGTACTTGCCACAAGACATTACAATTTGATTGAATTTGAGACACACAAAAGATGTCCAATCCAAAGAATATGGTAATCGAAATGATTGGACGCTACATCATTCATACAGGAATCAAGGATGGGGTGTAAAGGGAAATCATATGATATGTAACGTTTGGGAATCCATATAATATTAGTTTAAAATGGTGCCTATCATGGATAATCAGATAAGACTAACCTGTCGATTCAAATCTCTTGCTTTATCAGCATATATGCGAGATTCTGATGTTAAACGGCTCGACATTTGACTGACCTCTGCAAAATTGAAATTCAGGAGGAAATTTATCACATATACACAAACAAATAAACTTCCATCTAGAAGCAAATAGAAAGACTTACGGTCCAACTTTTCACCAACACCAAGCACTTCCTGAACATTGCGAGTCATTATTTGGTGGACTTCATACAGCTCATCATTCAACTTTGCAATATTCCGCTGAGTGCGAGTGTCCTGGTACAATTTCTTTGTTTTCTGTATGAATGTATCTTTTAAACACAAAAATGTGGAAGGAAATCAAACCCAGCAAAAGGAGAACAAAAATGTAGATAATAAGTACACAAGTCTAACATATGATATGACGGACAATAGTTTATGGCAATAGACCTACCGAATTTAATGAATGCATAAGGTCTTGCAGCAGTTTCAATTTGAGTCCCATTAACACGCTCAAACTCATTCTTGAGATCTTCAAGGTATTGGAAGGCAAGTTTCTTTGGATAGGCACGGTCACACATTGTCAGGTAACACACACGTCCTTCGATGATATAGCTAAGAACAAAGGTCAAGGTAATAACAGTTGTATGCTCTTCCTCTAACGAGAACAATCAATAACATAGCATTTATATAACAGCATCAATAAGACAATTACTGAATGAGCAGCTTAAGTTTTAATGACAGCAACAGCTATGTGAAACTAACATATTGTCTTCCAATATAAAATTAAGTCAACCGATTTGCAACAAACCTAAGACACATTTATCAACAAAGTTTCACAATTATCACTATTTGTATTGCATCTAAATCCTGTCCAGGAGCTATAAGGGGATTGCACAAACCTATAGCTAGTAAATTTATCAACATAAAACAAATTGTTTCAACTCAATAAATCATGAAGACGAAGCGACAAGGATACTGGAAAACAAAAGGTCCAGTTTCAACTGACATCCTTGAAGGCTCATTTTGTCCGGTTGATAAGTTCTTGAATAAAGCCTTGACTTGTTGTTTGTAGAATTCAGAGTCTGTTACATCACGGCCATCATCCAGTCCCTCTGCTAGTGGAAGACCGTCAGTAACACGAGCAATCATAGTCAGCTTCACCATCTTCGCTTCACAACTTCCTAGCAATGCGAAATTAACTGTGCCACGTCAAGATCATCAAATACCAGATCCAGGATAGCTTGAAAAACACAAATGACCCAGAAATACAACAATAATATACACACATTGTCAGACAGCCTTACATTATCTCTGCATTATCTTCCTTCGAATAGAGCTTAAACGTGCAGTCTTAGAAATTGGGCTTCCTATTCCAATACAGTTAAAACCCAAATCCCATCTTCCATATCAAAAAAAATTAAATATCAAACGAGACCCAATGTTGTTTTTATGATTAATCGGGTTTTTTTTTTTTTTTTTTAATACTGATTAATTGGGTTTTTAGCTAACAAAAATCAAAGACTGCTCAAGTTCTGAAATTCCAGTTGATTGATCCCCTTAACCATCTAAACCCCTTTGCCCCTAAAAATCCCTAAACTACAATTTTTATCCAAAATCATAAAAAGAAATGCAGTGAAATCCAAAAAATTTACGATAAATCTGAGAAATTGATGCAAAAAACGAAAACTTGATTGCGAATTTGGAAGACGTATACCTGCTTATAACATTGATCTGAGGAACGGTGAGGACGATGGTGCAATCTGAGTGAGAAGAATTGAGAGAAGCTCTGGAAAAACAAAAGGGGGTTTTCGAGGACCAAACAGAGCAAATAAGGGTTGGCCTTTTAGTTTAATCTGCGATCTCTGCGTGCGTTTTATGAGGTTGTACGTTCAGATTGCCAAGAAAGAAGTTTCAAAGGTACAACATCTTGATGCTGCCAGGCTCGTGAACGACGACGAGTCGGGCCGCCCCATTTAAACATCGATGTCGGTCGGGATAGAATTGAATATGGGCCGATGCAAGAAACAGGCCTGAGTCGCCCGCCTCGCTCATGAAACAAATAGGTAATTTTGTCTCACTTACACGTGGCAGAAAGATAGTAAGTGATTTTACCTTCTGAGAGCATATCCAAAGAAGTATCTCAATAGGGATGACCACGGTATAAAATGAGTATAAAATAAATATAGGACAAAATGAATTTTCAATGGATCGGAAAGTGAGTCCTTAAAGTATATAGACTCACCAAATACATATTGTATTGAATTCCCTCACATTTAAGGTTTGTATAGAGACAATTTTAAGTTGAAAACAAGGCCCATAATCTTAATCGTAGCTTTTAATTAATAAAAAAATGATTAACAAAAACAAAAAGTGTGCACCTTGATTGGAAAACCATACCCACAATCTTGATTGAAGATTTTAATTTTAATTAATTAAAAAAAAAAGGTTTTTTTTTTTTTTTTTTTTTTTAAGGAGGCCAACTGGTGGCAAGCTACGGTTATCCATCTCTTTTGAGGGCCGGGAAGACTTACATAGACATTTCAGCCTTCGTTTGACCACAAGTGTGACTTCCACACCATCAGCGGGTTTCAAACCTAAGACATCTAGTTTTCAGTTTTAAGGAAGCCTCATAATCCGGCATTTACCACTGGGACACCAGCATAAACAAAAAATGTACATCTAATTAAATTATCACGTAAAACCATAAAAACTTCAAATTTAGGGTTTCTACTATAAGGACTCTACCATTGGAGTCAATATTCTTTTAGGAACATAAAGATTCCCTTAAGTCCTTAAATAAGTACTCAAAAGTGATGGTGGGAGTCCTCCATTGGAGATGCTCTGAGGATCCCAACGTAATTGAAATGTTTTAAAAATGTTATATGAGGTTGTAGTTATACACAAGCATGAAGATGCCAAATATAATTTACTCAAATATCTCTTATTAGTTGTCAACAAAAATGTGATCTATTGTTACCACGCCATCACTTAACATCTAACTTAACAAATTTTATAATAATGATACGAAATTAGAATAAAATCGTAAATATGCGACTGAAATGTTTTTAAAATATTGAAAGGGTTATTGCTCAAAATATGAGGGGAAAAAATGTAAAAAAATGTGTACGACCGAGTAGATAGCCCTACAGACAAATGAGTGAGATTACATTATAAAATATAAAGATTTATATTCCTTTCGTCGGCATTTCGTGGAGAATCGTTAAAGGTGAAAATCCAAGAAGTTCAAAGGACTTGGTAACTTCGGGCTGAAGGTTTCTCAGAGAGTGGCATTTATATTCTCTCCCTCCAATAAAATGGCCCCACAAACTCCATCCATTTTCTAATATAATCAAATATTAACTTTCCTTTCGATCTCTCCTCCGCACTTCTCACTTCTCACTCTTCACCGTTTCCAACTGTTCAGTCATTTTCTTCCATTTCTTCCAAAATTAACCGTAATTTCCCCGCCAATTACAGCGATTTAGGTCCAAGAAACTCCATGGACAATCGCGCGCAAGATGGCGACATCTCCCGCGGCGGACGATTCTCCACGAAACGGGGAGGTCAAGCTCGAGAATGCCTCCGAGGCGGACGATTCTCCACGAACCGGGGAGGTCAAGCTCGAGAAAGCCTCCGAGGCGGACGTTTTCCCACGAATCGGGGAGGTCAAGCCCGAGGAAACCAACGAGGTGGCCGACATTCTCCTCTCGCCGCCGGCCACCCTTCCAATCTCCACAGCCCTGTAAGTTTATCGCCACCCCTATCTATTGACAGACTTGATTTCTTGGTTTTTTTTTTTTTTTTTTCATCTTTTCTATGATTATGATCTTGTTAATCATGGGATTTTTGTGCATTTTATAATGAACTTTTGTTAGATTTAAGTGAAAGACTCTAATTTTACATGCTTACTTTGAGATTTTTGAAATTAAATTGGAATGTAATGTGAGTTCTGGTTGAAAAGTTTGGAACTTTTTCTTACTTTTGCACTTCTAAATGATTTGGCATTTGGGGTTTGAGGATTTAGAATGTGCTATGGGAACTGGGTGTGAGTAAGAGAATTTTCAAGCATGTGGTGGTCAATGGTTTAAAAGTGTTTACTTTGAGCAGCATATGTGTTTAGACAAATCATAGTTGGTTTGTGTTTTGATTTAGTACGTTTGAGCTACGAATTCAAGTCTGGGATGGGAAAACTGTTATAAATTTAGGGCTGGCTTGTAGTTTTGATGTCTTGACTCAGCTCCATTCCTTGGTAGATTTAGTGGCATTTCATTTTTTTAGCTGCTCTTTTATGAAATGGATTTGTTTGGTTATCTTCGACGTTTATATTGGTTATCCTTGCACATGATTTTGTGAAGTTGAGTTGATTGAACTGTGTTTATTCACACTGTTTGCACAAACAGCAGGCCGGGCCTGGAACTCATGGAACATTTTCTAATGACTCCTCGGGTAACAATGAGTTTCTGGTATCATATCATTCTGAGCATAAACCTGCCACCAGTTCTGCACATCGGCAGGAATGGCATTCATCTGGAAGAGAGGACATGCATTCTCATGCTGAGAGTTTGAAGGAGGGACATAAATCAACTGATTCCAGGGGTGTTAACCCAAAAGTTTCAAAGTGGTCAGCTGTCTCAGATGCAAGCTACAGAGAGCATCCTCCTTCGTTTTCTAATCTGAGTCATTCTGAGAATTTGCATGCCGGGGTAGAGAGAATGCAGATTAGAGAAACCCCGAGTGAGATGACAGAGGATAGTGTAACTCTGCCCTGCAAATCTGAGGCCCATGGTGTGCCTTTCCCTATTAACAGTCCTGTAAATGCAACCAACCAAGGGAAGCCAGAGCCTTCTGAACAGTCGATTTTTGATTTATGTCCTCCTAAATCAAGGGGTTCTATTACCCTAAAGGCTCCTCTGCTAGTACAGAATAGAGAAAGGCGGAATGAAATCAAGCGCTCCAAGGAACAGAACAGTGGAATTGTTTTGCAGTCTGGAATGGTTCTATTAAAAAGTTACCTTTCCCTCCATGACCAGGTGCTTCTTTGTGTTCTTTTACTTCTTCTAAATTCTGTGATTAGTTTTCATTGTTAAATCATTCTCCAACTGATAATTATGTTTCACCAATCTGAAATATGTGAATGGTACATGAAAATTGTAGAGTAAGTTGATGGATTGTGAGATTTTCTGTTTTTGATTTCTTCTAGATGAATATAGTCAAGTTATGCCGAGACTTGGGTTTGGGTTCTGGAGGTTTCTACAGACCTGGTTACCGTGATGGAGCAAAGCTGAATTTGATGATGATGTGCCTTGGTAAGAATTGGGACCCTGAGACAGGTCAGTATGGAGATCGTCGACCTGTTGATGGTGCTATTCCGCCAAAGATTCCTGATGAATTCTTTCAGTTGGTTGAAAATGCAATCAAAGAGTCCCAGTCCCTTATTATGAAAGATTCTAAAACTAGCAATTCTAAAGGCATACTTCCATGGATGATCCCAGACATATGTCTTGTGAACTTTTACTCATCCTCTGGGCGACTAGGTCTTCATCAGGTTTGTAATAAAAGAGCCTTATCTATTTCTCTGCAGTGGATTCATTTCTTTCTTCTAATTTAATCCTTCTCCCTCTGTCGTATGCGCATTTGATACAACTTTGGTAAGCATTACATCTGTAACTGTCAGGCATCGAACTATCTCTTAACCATTTTGGAGGAACAGCTGTCACTTTTATTTTATGCACTGAACTGCATGGCATTCATTCGCAGCAGCTGCACCATCTTCCAAATCATCTATAACCCAATGCAACTGTTGTCCACGTTAGTTATTTCTGGATCGTTTAGAAGACTGAAGCAAAATTTGCAAAATTTCCCATATAATGAAATTCATCCTGTATTACTTTCTGAATCTTAAAATAAGTAAAACCTTACTGTTCTGAACTACTTGATAACATCTCTTGGCCATGCCTTCCTGCAGGATCGTGATGAAAGTGAACAAAGTCTCTGCAAATGTTTGCCAGTTGTCTCTTTTTCCATTGGAGATACTGCAGAATTCTTGTACGGTGAGCAAAGGGATGTTGACAGGGCAAATAAGGTTATACTGGAATCTGGAGATGTTCTAATATTTGGTGGAAAATCGAGGCATGTATTTCATGGTGTATCGTCTATAAAGCCAGACACTGCTCCTAAGACCCTGCTGGAAAAAACAAATCTCCGAGCTGGCCGTCTGAATCTTACTTTCAGAGAGTATTGAAAATTTTGTGCTGGTGCACATCGTAAGCTTCTCTAGTCAGAGTTAGTTCGAACGAAGCATGGTAGCTTCATGATGTAATGACTCTTTGTGTTGAATCGTTTATATCAGTGAAAGTGGTTTACGTTACATTCAAGTACTTCCATTTCGGAATTAGGTCAGTCGTTCTTTCAAACAGGGCCCTATATCTAGTTCTGATGCCGGTGATTCATATTTCCTCAAAATCTTCAGACAAGGTTATGTTATGCCTGATCTTTCGTCGAAAAATTTTACGGAAACTTATGAAGAAATTGGGTCAATAGAACCGTCCATACCTATATTATTACTTATTGGTTGGAGAGTAGTTTCCTCCAAATAAAACTCGTTAAATTCAAATATTTTTTGTTCTCTAGATGCAACCCTATTTTTCTCTTTTGGTAGCCAAACTTCCAACGGTTCGGGCATAGTTGAAACATATGGTTCAACTTTCCTCTTGCTTCACTTACAGAACAACAAATTAAAAAAAAATTGCTTATTTTGGAAGCAAAAGCAGAAGAGCAAACAACCCTACCACCACCATAAGTGCTTGCCAACCTAGTAGGTGGGATCCATAGGCTCATCAGCTTTGAGCAGCATTAGGTATATCCACACAAGTACGGATTTCTGCATATAAAATCCTTTATAATCACCATTATTTCCATTCTTCTTATAAGATATTTATTAATTAACCGTATAAAAAAAAAAAAAAAAAAAAAAAAAAAAAAAAAAAAAAGCCTATGGGGAGGCCGTTGGCGGACGTTGGTGATCGTTCAGCCGGAAGTTGAGGGTGGATATAGGGAGAAAGAGCCATGCTGGAGAAGCAGGGCACATGCTAGATATATCAGCATTGTCTGAGAATTTCGCATGTGCTCTAGCTCTCCATCTTGGACTCTCTCTTTTTCAGGCACAAAGTTGGCAGTAGTGAAGGTGGCCAATTTTTTCGGAGCTCCCATTTTAACTTAGTTAACCGATGATTGTATCGCGAATTCATTTCCGAACAGATTCTAGTTCTGCAGTGCTGCAACGGCCTTAACATCATCGACCGTAAGTGTTACACATTGACATCCTTGATGCTCTTTTTTTTTTTCTTCTGTAATTCGTATGTATTTCTTCAAAGTTCATGTACAAAATATCATCATTTTATTGGAATTAATTTATACACAAGCAACAGTCCATAAATTATTTCATCATCCACAAGTTCAGTAACAATGCTTGGCTCAAATCACATTGGTTGGCAACAAAATCTATCTCAAATGTAATAAATTATTCGTATGTTTCGCTGAATCAATTGTGATTGGATCTGTTTTCTAGAGCTGAAGCAGCAGATTCAACATGGACAAATAAACAGGAATACACTTTTTGTTTCAACCTGTCAATGGTCTCCACCAATCCATTGTTCTCTGAGCTCTGACTGTTTTTCAGTTTATCCAACCACTCATTTCCTTTCTTAAGCTGTGATAGCGTCACAGCGATTTGATTCTCTGGCTCATTGCGGCGCCCAGCACTGTCCTTACCTTTCTTCTCTTGGGGGGTTTTCAGACGAAATCCAGAATCCAGTGCCTCCTCCAAGAATTTCAAGAACCAAGATCTTGTTTCGTTTAAGAGAGCTTCTCTGAGTTCTGTTATCTCTTTCGCACTATCTCCTTTCGCCCATTCTAGTTTCTCTGCTCCACTTAACTCAGCGGGGACCTTCGAAGACTTCAATGTGCCTTTACCATGAATTAGGCCTGTCTTTTTGCTCAACGTTTCGACATCTGGAGGTAACTGCTTTGTAGTTAAAGGAATTGAATTATCCTTTAATGGAGCTGTCATATTTGGTTGGTCAATCAGCTGGTGGAGTATGAAAAACTTGTTCAGAGAGATGTGGGGATTGTCCGGTGAAGCAGATGAGCATAGATCGGCGAACATACTTGGAAAAAAAGAAAAGAAAAAGAGTTTACTGTGAGACAATTGTTAAGATGATTCATACATGTAAGATTATTGTTTACCTAACGCATTTGACAAGAGTTGCAGCTGTAGATGCTTCTTTTTGAGCTTCTGCTGCAACCAAAGAAGCTAGATTTCTCCTTCTAAGCATTCCCTTGTAAAATTTTGACAAAATATACGAACTGTGTCACATTGTTATTCAATATATTGCTGCCTAGATCACATGAATGAGAGTCAATGAATATGTGTTGTTGCCTGGAATACCTTTCCGAGCTTCACAAAATTAGCCGGAAGAGAAGGCCACAAAACTGCCTCTGCTGAATTACTTTTATCTTTTCGGTTTGACAAGCAATTAGTGTTCATGGTTTCCTGTTTTCCTGAAGTGCGTTTTGCAGAAGCGCTTCTTGAAGGCACAGCAGTCTCCTTGGTATTAGATGCAGCCACATCTGCCTCTGATGCAAGCGCACGAGGTCGATTGCGGGGAGGAGCTATTGAGCGTGCCTGTTACACTAGTATAAATGACCATACTACATAACTGGTCAAAAGATTCAACAGAAATGTGTTTCCTACACTAGAACTTTGTTACATTTGTCAAAAAACAGTTATATACTTAAAACGGAAACTATGTCTAGCGCGCAAATCGTACCTGACCATTAAGCTCTTGCTGCTTGCCTTTCACCATGCCAACCTTCTTAGCACCAGTCTCATTATCATTGTTCTTCCCACCTCCATAGGAATCCGCTGCGCTAGCTTTTGAATTTGATGTCGAAACACCTTGCATATACCTAGATGCAACAGCCACCCTTTCCTCTTTAATAACAAGCTTTTGTCTCGGGTTTTCATCAAAGGGTTCCCTCGATTTGGAACTATTATTTGTTCCTTCATGATCAGCTTGGACTGGATTCTCTGATGGCTCTAACATTTGCATCAAATCCTTAGGGTTCCCCACGAAAGGGTGTCTTCCTGGCACTGGTCTGACTCCAACAAGAATAGGAACCGGTGTTCCTGCCTCCATTCTATCGACATAGAAAAACTGGCCAAGCTGCAACTTGTTATTCAATATAATCTCATTGTCCTCCCTCGACAGCGAGACATAAGTGGAATGAGAAGAATCGGAGACTTTTATGAAGAATCCTTGGTTAGGCCAGAGTTCCGAGCCACTTAAGGCTGGCACAATGCTGATCACTTGAAGCAGGACTGATCGGTATTCTCCTCGAACCTTCACGTTGGAGTTTATGCTCTGTAGAAACTTTATCAAAACTCCTGGTGTGAGGGAGGCCATTGCTTCAATTCTTCTCTTCTTCTGCTAAACCCAGACTAATGAACGCCACGCATTCTGAAACAACTCGAACAACACGAATCAAGAAAATCAAATTTCTAACATCGGTTAGTTCATCGAAAACTAAACTAGCATCAGTTACAAATTCTGAACCACAAAACCAAGATAACGAAAACAACTACAATCGGATTGTTCATAAATTTCTGAATACCTGAAGGGGAGATGTAGTAAAATCAAGGGAAGAATCCTGCATATAGTGATGATGAGGCAGAGAATAATGGCAAGAATATTGGCTTGTCCAAAAGCACTTCTGTAGGCTTTAGCTTTGCATACGAGGCACGTAAACTTCAGCTTCTCTTGGCTTCAAAGTCAAGTTACAATAAAAACGCACAGAATTTTATGGCCTTTTTTGTTTATTATTTATGTGATGATCAATGACGATTAAAGGGCCAACATTAATCAAGATAAATGTGATTGATCACCCTTTTTATATATTTGGTTTGTTGATTAGGTCGTGGGTCTCTTTGTGGTTGCGTTTCTCCTTTTGGGAAGAGTTAATTGAGACGGAAGGACTTTTCCAATTTCTGGGAACACAAATTATGCTTATATACAAAGTAGTAGCCTCATATAGTATTTCACCAGAATTTTTACATGTGATCATATAAACATTAGGCATCTTAATCAAGGATATTAACTAGTGGAGTACCACTTAGTACTATGGTTTAATGGTATTTTTCTTCACTTGTAAGTGAGAGATCTTAGATTCGATTCTCACCACAGGAGAATTTGAACGACATTATTATTAGCCTATTGTGAGGCTTAGTGTAGATAATATTGTTTGTTAAAAAAACAAAAAAAAAAGTAGAATACCACATTAAAATCCGCATTTTAATGCCTGAAAATCAAAGATGAAATTAACTAGGGGAGATGGTTGATCTATATACTCATTTTTGTCTTCCCCTTCCTCGCTTCAGGATTTTCTCATTCCATGAAAGTAAACAAGTAGACGCAATTATGCGATTTCATTCCTGCCAAAATTAAAATATTATCTTTCTCATTTAGGAACTTGGGTACAATACAATCATAACATTTGACGACCATATTTGACTGTCAATAGGTGATTATATTAAGTACTTCAATGTACCCTACCGGGTCCCTATTATTTAGATTTACCAACTAGCCATAACAAGCTACTTACATTATTGCTAGCTCATTTTGAGACTTAAGTCCACTTCTCCACCTCCTTAGTACAGACAATATTATTTGTTGAAAACAAAATCAAACAAAAAAAACTAGCGGTAACAAGCCTAGAACAAAAGGCTTTACAAGTTTAAACCCTACCATTTGAGTCATTGAATGTACGTTGGTACATCAATTACAAACCCTAACATCACAAAAAGTAATGAGAGTGTGGACCAAAAAAATATTAATATGGATTGGCTACTTCTCTATAACTACAAGCATGCTAATCAATCTTCTCCATCACAAAAGTTCCAGGGGTAACTTACAAGTTACATACTGTAATCAAAACGCATTGGCTTCAGTTTCTGCACGCACCAAGCTAGCATACACACCGTTAAGGTGAGAGGCCATAAGTGCATCATGGCTCCCATATTCTGTGATGGCGCCGTTGCTCATCACTGCTATCATATCGGCCTCTCGGATTGTCGAAAGCCGGTGAGCCACTATGATGGTTGTAGCCCTTTTGCTGATCTTCTTAAGTGCCTCTTGTATGTGCCTCTCTGATTCCAAATCCAGTGCACTACTTGCTTCGTCTAGAAGTAGTACCTTTGATTTCTTCAGTATAGCCCTTGCTATGGCAATCCTTTGCTTCTGGCCCCCGGATAGCTGGGCCCCACTCTCACCAACCTATAGATCAAAGGAAAGAGAAAACCATTATGGTGAA